TCGGTCTTCCCTTCGCATAATTGAGTTTCGAGAGCAGCACAGCGACGAAAGGTTGGGTTGCTAAATCTTAAATGTTTCTTTTACAATTTTCTATTGTGTTTTTATATAGCGTTTAACAAGTGGTTATTAAAAAATAAATTTCTCACCATGTTAATTTTCAGGACTTCCCACTATGTTAATCTCAGGACATCCCGCCATATTTATCTCAGGATTACCCGCCATGTAAATCTCAGGACATCCCACTATGTTAATCTCAGGATTTCCCGCCATGTTTATCTCAGGACTTACCGCCATGTTAATCTCAGGACTTTTCACCATGTTAATCTCAGGACTTACAAACATGGTAATCTCATGAATTCCCGCCATGTTAATCTCAGGACATCCCGCCATGTTTATCTCAGGACTTCCCGCCATTTTAATCTTAGGACATCCCACCATGTAAACCACACGACTTCCCACCATGGTTATCTCAGGCCTTACCATCATATAAATCTCAGGACTTCTCACCATGTTAATCTCAGGACGTCTCACCACGCTAATCTCAGGACCTCTCACCATGTTAATCTCAGGACTTCCCGTCATGTTAATCTCGGGACTTGCCACTATGGCAACTCCAGGATTTGTAACCATGTTTATCTCAGGACTTACCACTATGGTAACACCAGGACTTACTACAATGTTAATCCCAGGACGTCACCCTGGCGTTAACAAATTTCAAATTATTATTACAAAATTTTATGAAGTGCATAGTTTAATCACTCAATTAGATGACACCTTATCCTTATCAGTATTCAAACAAATTATAATCTAGAATATAGACAATAGTAGACGTTAATGGTTATAGAAAAAAAAAGTTCGTTTTTAAAAAAAAAATAGTATAGGACGACACTGGTCCTCCATCGACCTTGAACTTTGTCATTTCTGTGTTCTAGTAATGCCAGTCAGTGGCGTAGCGAGGGTGTTTGGCGCCCGGGGACAAGATTCGCGCCCGGGGACAAGATCCGTTTTAAAGCGCCCCTTTTTCTTTTTTTCAACTCTCAAACCCATTATTTTCATCAATAAAATAATATCAAAGAACATTTTCGCGCCCCTAACTAGCTGGCGCCCGGGGACATCTGTTCCCCTTGCCCCCACCACGCTACGCCTCTGATGCAAGTCAAGGTATTGTTGTTAAATTGCGTATTCACTGTGAATTTTAGTAATACAGAAATTAACAGTTAAAAATTGCCCGAACATTATTAACTACTCAATACTAATATTTTATTTATAACACACAATGACAATTTCGATAATGCTCAATAATTCTGTACATTTTTCATCAAATCAAGTTATGAAATCCAACGATTGTTCAAAAAAGGATTTTTATTAGGCCTATAATTTTATATTAGTTTTAATACTCAAAAATCATATACTGGTTTGGCGGCTGGGTGGCAGTGTCGTCAAATAACGGGAGTTCAACTCCCAGCCTAGGCCAGACAAGTAATACATACATTTTTCTGTCTAAACGAAATCCACCCCCTTCCCACGAATAAAATAATCACCACACCAAAGACCCCCCTCCCCCCCCCCCATTTTTAATGGTCAAGGGGTTCTCAAATTATATAATTTTAAATTTAATACATATTGATCATCAACAGTAATATACTAATATAAAACAAGCATTTAAATTCTACATTTAAGAATGTTGCCCCCCCCCACCCTCCTAAGTAATATACTAATATAAAACAAGCATTTAAATTCTACATTTAAGAATGTTGCCCCCCGCCGCTCTCCTTAAGTTAAATAAACATGTTATTATAATTTCCTCGTGCACTATATAAGAAAATTCACATGCCCCCATCCCCCGTGTCACACTATGTCACAAATATCAGACAACCCCCCCTCCCCCAACACACAGACTTTTTTTTCCACACACTACATCACACTTTAGAATTCAACAAAGTGTTTAAAAAAATTGTCAAATCATTTAATTTAAAACACACTTCCCTATTCAATTTATGAAAGTGACATCTTCTGTCACAATACATCCATCACAAAAGAAATTTAAACATCAATGTCATAATACCTCCATCACAACAGAAAGTTCAACAGCACTGTCAATATCAGATTTTATAAGCATGATTCGAACAAAATTAAAATGTGTGACGTCCCACATAATCTCTACACCACCTTCGCCGTGTCACAAACTGTCAATTTTTCTTAGACCCCACTCCCCACCCCCCGTTCCGAAGCGTGACACTTTATGGATGGCCCGGCTTCTTCATTGAACTCGATAGGATGACATCAGAAAGTCCTCCCTATGGGGATGGGGTGGTAGTTTTTTTGCGCCCACTCAGGACTTTGTCGCTCTCAGAAACAGCCAGACACTGGAATCCATCAAAACCGATTGGAAAACACATCTATTCCGCAAACATCTGCTGGGGTTATGTTGTCTACCATCTTTTCCAGCTAGCTATTATCTTCTAGATGTATATTGGCTTGTGTTTTTTTATAGTTGAATAGGATGAAGGACTTTGAATGGGGATTCTCGTTTGTAGTTTTTGTACTGTTGCGTTTCGTGTTTTAATGTGGTAAAATATAGATTGTTTCATTTCTCTTTTCATATGTTTGAATTTGTACCGCACTTCGAGCCTTAGCGGATGAAGCGTGATTTGAAAAAAATAAAATTTATTATTATATTTCCAAAATGCGCCTCTGTTTAAATCTGTTTCAGAATTCGGGAAAAAAAAAAAAAAAAAAAAAAAAAAAAAAAAAAAAAAAACAAAAAAAAAAAAGAAACTGGTGAATTTACGATAAAATTGTCCTGACTTATCGTCGACAAGCCTTATCTAAATTTAAACTAAAGAATGTGTTCTGATTTCCTAGATGTCACGTGTTTGGACACAAATGTAAGGAAATAGAATAATGAAAACTTATTAATTTGATAAAAATACAACGATTTATTTCAAATTTATATAATTAGGCATGAAGTAGCCTTTAGTTTACATCAGTAGCCTACACACACGTGTGCAAGAATCAATGTTTTGTGTAATAATTGTGTAGTAGGCCTACTGTCATCATACCAAAGGTAGCTAAACATTCGTTCAACTTTTGTTGAATCTAGGTCAAATCTAAAATTAGCCGATAAATGAACATTGCGGACAAACGAAAATTTTTGATTTGAATAACGCGCGTTTAACCAATTGTTTAGCGCAGTGGTTCTCGAAATCCCTAATCCATCAAATTTTCATCGCTTTTGAAATGTAAAATCATAAAATAGTAAATTAAAATGCGCAGTTACACATTGTATTTTAAATTATCTTTAGATCTATACAATTTTCAACCAATTAAACAAAATACTTGCTCAGCATATTCTTATAATGAATCGGCCTACTTATATTATCTATTGCTGGACGGTAAGTTCCAGTTTTTCCCCTTGCTAAATAAAGACACTTACTTGTCATTTGTTTTGCAATTCAGTTTCATTTTTGTACTTACGTTGCACAAGGTGCACGTAATTCATTAGACAAGCCAAGTTCAAGTTGACATGAAGTCAAGTTAAAGCAGTGGCGTAGCTAGGGTTGGTGTCACCCGGTGCGGTAAACTCATGGTGTCACCCCCCCCCCAAAAAAAAAAAAAAAAAACAAAAAAAAAAAAAAAAAAAAAAAAAAAAAAAAAAAAACAAAAAAAAAAAAAAAAAAAAAAAAAAAAAAAAAAAAAAAAAAAAAAAAAAAAAAAACAAAAAAAAAAAAAATCACATACATCGAAGGTCATGAGGTCAATGTCTTTAAATCTGCAACAACGTTAAGTTATAGTTATTTTTACATTCAATTTACTTTATTTCAAATTGTCCTTTCCGTGTCTTCAAAGCTGCAAACCTGTCAATCACTTGATCGAAATCAATTTCATTCACTGTATCACTTCCAATTAATAGCAGAGCCGCATCAGAAAGCCTAGACTTTTGCATGGTGGATCATAAATATTCCTTGATAAGCTTAGTTTTGATAAGCTCCGGGCGCAAGAAGCCACATACACACATATTGTAAGAAAAAAATTAAAAGCTTAGCGAGAGTATTGGAGGAGATTCTAGGAGGTCCCATTCAGCTATGAATTTCAAAACATCAAATACTGACCAGTCCTTGAATTTGTGAAATTCAATATCAGCTGCCTTTAGATCTCTTCTAAGCTTTGGTATTTCTTTTAAAAATTCATCTTCTAATGACTCATCATAGAAAGAGGTTAATTTTGGAACGGAAACCAATAACTCTTCTTCACTTGCTGATACTAGACTCTTGTGTCAAACAGTACCAAACATATCTGCTACTTCCATGGTCGCTAATCATCTGATTTGGCCTTCAGAATGAAAGCGATCAATACAAGCCAGGATCTCCCTACTGTTTTCTTCTCGCAGAAAGAGTCCAGTATCAATTAATTGTTCTCCTGCCATTCGCTTCTTCAACCTTATTCTTCTCTCTACCGAAATTCCATATTGGTCTGATTTTAAAAGTGCCTTTTCAATAGCATGTTACACCAAGTGACGGCGCTTCACGTGGAGAAACAATCTTTAGGCCTCTAGGTTTCTCACCACCTTGTCAAGAGTAAAGCCTTTAGTTCAGACCGAAAAAATTTCCCTAAAGGTATATGAGGTACGTATCTAGTGCATCTTTTAAAATGTGCCAGTTTTTGTCATTAACCATTACACGTACAGTATCGTGGCTGGAATACCATTATCACCAAACCATCCATGTCTTTGGATTGGTTAATTTATGAAAAATATAAGTGTGATGGGTTATACTTTTATGAATCTCGGTTGTGTGTGCTCAGATTGCTCGGTAAATATGCAATTTTTCAATTGGGTGTCACCCCTAAAATGGTGTCACCCGGTGCGGTCCGCAACCCCCGCGCTACGCCACTGAGTTAAAGCGTAACTTTACAAAAAAATAAAATAAACAAAATAAGACCATGTTTTTTGTTTTTTCCACTAACTATGAATATATAAACAGAAGATAAAACTCGCCAATATCCTAAAGTTCAGTTAGGTTACTTGGGCACCGTGCTGCCCGATTTCTTTCGTTGTGTAGAGGCAGAGGTAGAATAGAGAAAGCTTTAATTTTAACAAACTACTAGCGCAGCGTAATGATGTCATGACCCAGTTTTCATGATTTATTAATAACATTTTTTTACCAGCTGAAACAATATGGACACGTGTATGTGAAAATGTATTTTAAATCATTTTTTTCCCGTTGATATTTAGTTGTAGCATTCAATTTGTTATATCAAATATTTATTGAAATAAATAATTATAATACTATACTATACTATACTATACTACATTACTGAGAACTACATTTTAGTAGGGTTATCTAGTTTCTATTTTTAAGCACCCACAGTTGTCAACAGTGTTGAAAATAGATTGTTCCTATAAAAAATATATATTAAGTTTTACTACTATTATTATTAGTTAGGCTAAGAGGATATAATATATTCTGTTATGACTTATGATTTATGTTACTACTAAGCAATAGCCTATACATTCTAAGTGAACTAAGTGTGATAGGCTAGGCATAACATGATCATGATGATTTTAAATAAATCGTTTAAATATAACTTATAATTATAACTTATACGTGAGAGTGAGTGTAACTTAACTTTAACTTTTTATTTTATTATTTGTTATAAGTTATTAAAAAATGTTTAATTGAAAAACCATAAACTAGAGGAGGTCCCTCCAGACTGTATAATACTGTTTATAATATTATAAAAGTTGTTAGTTGTTAGTTGCCTCTCATTTCACTGCTAAACTGATTTTTGTGTGTTTAATTTAAGTTTAATTGATTTTTGAAATACCTAATACATTGAATTTTTAAAAACAATCTTTGTATCCCCAGACCCTGGAAATCAAGCCGAAGAATATGAGTTGGATGTGAAGGGTCTGGATGATGTAAAATTTGGACAGGATATTAGACGCAAGGAATTTCTCCTCCAGCCTGACATTGCATTTTTAAATCATGGCAGCTATGGCACTGTACCAAGAAGGATTTTTGACATGCAGATCAAGTACGATTTAATTTATTTACAAGTTTAAATCACTGGTCAGTGGTCTTCAATAATTGTCACAAAACTGAGAACTTGGTGGAAGTATGTTTTGAAATGCATCAAATGATTTCAATGTGGAATAAAAAAATAAAAAAATATTTTTTAATAAAAAGTAAAAAAAAATGAACAATGGTCACATTAAGGAAACAAAATAATATATTACCTTGTGATACTGGTTTCATATGATTGAACACAAATTAAAAGCACCCAAAAAGTCACTTGAGCAAAGCTCTAATGGCCAAAATGTCCTACGCCTGTTACACACATGCATATCACATTTTTAAGTTTTGTCACTCATTAAAATTTGGGACACCATTCAGTTTAAAGCCATAGAAATCACTTCCAGGGGATTCGCTTACAACCAAATACAGAAGTATGGTTGAAATCACCTTAAAGTTCAAAAGAAATTTTCCATTAGGTATAACCTTGAGAGAGAAAGACACCCTGACTTTTGGTTTCGGTTGAATTGCAAGTACTACTTCGATAAAAGTCGAAAGGCAGTTGCAGATTTTATTGGAGCTGATGTGGACAATTTAATGTTAGTGGATAATGCAACAACTGGTAATTTTCTTTAAGTTCTAAATTTTAAGGTTATGAAAAGAACATCATACCATCACTTTTATACAATAAAAAAAATTTTAAAATATTTATTGGTTTAAGAAAAATAAGTTTTTTTTCAAATTTGCTTAAGAAAAGGAAAAGGCAATTTATATTCCAATATCCATATTGCTTTAATTTAAAAGCTGCTTATAAAGTTATCAATAGGCTTGAGTGTAACTTTTCTGTATATTTTTTTCTCCATTATTCCTTATTACATTTTTCTTTATGTTTGTTTCAATCTAGCATTAAATACAGCAGTAAAATCTTACCCATTTAAGGCTGGGGATGCGTTGTTGGATACAGACCAGACTTATGGATCTATTCATAATTTGTGTGGAGATTTCACTTCAAGACTAAGGCCAGGTAAAAAAACCAAAATTGAACAGAAAATGTTCATGTTTAAATTCATAGCTCATGGGAACGTTAAAAAGTGTGAGCAATTGATAAGTTTAACTAAAATTTAATTTTATGAGAGATGGAGTCCCGTAGGCGGTATGACATTGACACTATAAAAATTCCCACAACTCCTGTGATGGGGAATGCATAAAGGGCACAGTGAAACACACAAAAACACTACTGCTGGTCATCTACCGCATCCTAGTCTTTTCCGGTCATCTTGAGTGTTTTGACATTTGATCAAATAGGCAAGGGTGAAAAGAGCGAGTCTGAAGAACTGAGCAACTCTACATCACTTTACACAAAATACAGCTCAAGTCAAGGCTACTACTCATGCTACTACTACTGCCTGGGTCACCTTCGCATCCAAAGGACAAACAATAATAATAATTTAAGTATGAGAACTATAATACCCTTGTTATCACTTTGTACAATATTAACTTTTAGGGATTTTTACATTTTATCATTTTGTCTTTGACAGATGTGGAAAGGGTGAAAGTTAAAATTGAATTTCCTATTGAAAGTGAAGACGACATCATAAGAAAATATGAAGAAATTTTTCAGAAACACCCAAACATCAAGGTAGTTATAATTGGTAAGATATAATTTAAAAGTGATATTTTAGTTGGCTTTTAAGAATTTATTACCAACTTATATATATATATATATATATTTAATAGTATAAATGTAGATATGTATATCATGGAATTCGACATTTTAGAAAGCTCAATTAGATAATTTTTACAGTTAGTAAGTGTTGAATCTGAAGAAAAAAAAAAATTCATTCTGATGGGCTTTCTTGCTTATGTATCGATGACGTAATTGAATCAAGACATAATTAATAGTATTAATACTGTGGTGTAGTTCTTAATTTTCTATTATTAGAAATGATGTTATTATTTGTTTACTGACTGACATAATTTTTTGTTGTGTCAGCTTACATAAGTCTAAGTAGTAAACTGTTATAAAATCAATTTTGAACAAATTAGTTGAAACCCTTTAGTGCACATGAGAATGAAAAATATCATTTTTTCAGATCACATAACAAGCCCTTCATCCATTGTGATGCCAGTCAAGCAACTTGCTGTCCTCTGTCACAGCAAGGGTGCATTAGCCTTTATTGATGGAGCCCATTCCATTGGCCAGGTGCCCATCGACTTGAAGGATATAGGAGCAGACATTTATACCAGTTTGTTCCATTCAAATACTACAGCTAATATGGAAATGTTAACATGAAAATACTATATTAATTCTCTTGATTAAAAAAAAAACCAAGTAGTTTAAACAGTTGAAAAAATCTATTTCAAATACTAAGACTTATCAGTTTAGAATAATGGAGTTTTGTTGGCCTTGATGGTCAAATTCTGTTGGCTACACCTTCTCAATACCTTTTAACTTGTCAGGTCCACTATTTGGTTTCATTTTTAAACACTGTGCAAAATTGAGTTGCATTTTACTAAAAAAAATAATTGCCCTTTTAGAATATATCACAAGCCATTGTAATATATAACATCACACATGGAGGAGGGAGTGCTGCAGCTTGTAAATAGCTTGGACTGTCCATCAGTCTACAGAAGAGAAAAGTTCATATTGTTAAAAGTATGGGAGGGAGAATTTAAGTGAACTAGGCTGTAACTGTAAGGGATTGTTGTTCTTTTAAGTCACAAAATAAGTCTTTACTAAGTTGACCTGGAATCATTTTCTTTCCTCCAGCCAACGTTCACAAATGGGGCTATGCACCACGAGGATCTGCTGTTTTATGGTTTGACAGTAAGCATGCGGGTTGGATCAATCCCCCCAACACATCCTGGTATATTGGAGACACTTTAGAGAACCAGTTCTTTGACCAAGGCACCAGGGACCACGTGCCATACATATGTGCCAGACACAGTCTGGATTTTTACAATGCCATAGGAGGAATTGTATGTATTGTTCTGATGGTTGTGTTTTGAAATAGGACTGTATAAGTTTACATTAGTGTACTTAATTATATTTTTTACAAATAATTTCACAATAATTTATTGTTAAGGTTGGAATACCATAATTTTGTTAAAGAATGTTAAATAACTCAAATATGAATGTGAATCACCTTTTTTGAAACAGGGACTAGTGTATACTTATGGTACTGCTGGGATTTGAACCCTTGTCAGTAGTATACTTTACCTTGCACATTTCCAGATGCTCTATTGAAATTTTAACTTATATAAATGTTTAAAAATAAAGTGGGCACATATTTGAAATGATATATAATTAAAATAATTTTTTTTCAAAAAGTGTTATTGAAAAAATAAAACAAAATTACCATGATAAATCTTATCTCAAATTTAATGATTTGCCGAACATTTTTATCTCTCGTTACAGGAGAAGATAATTGAATACACATCTGATCTCGCAGACCAAGCTAAAGAGTTGATGGTTAAGGAGCTAGGATTTAAACCACTGCCCATTCCACAATCTTTGGAATCTCCTAACTTGAGATTAGTCAAACTACCATCATTTCCCAAGTACCCTGCCACTGAGGTAAAAAAGACAGTGAATCAAGAAGTAGTCAAGTAGTTGATAATTCAAAAACATAATTATTAAAACAAATATTTGTTCCATTTATCAACTTTACTATTCCTGATTTAATTTGAATTATATTGGTGTCCCACCCACAACCCCCGGATTAACTTTTCCAGATTCTTTCAAGTCCTTTAAATAAAAGTAAATTTATTTTTAAAAATGGCTTAGTTCACATCTTGGTGTTAAATATTTCATACTGCTTCTTTGTCAACAGGCAGGCATGACAGAACTTCAAAAAGCAATTTTCGGAGGCTCTAATGTCTTCGGTATCTTGGCCCTTGTCAATGGAGACATCTATTTCCGTTACTCTGTCCAAATTTACAATGATATAGATGATTTCAAGGCATTTGTTGATCTTTTTAAAAAGTTTGTTTACAAAAATCCACAATAGCCGTTTTTTAGATACAAATTTTATTCAGAATTGATCTACCTAAATGACTTTATTTTCGTAAGAAAACTATAATCTCATATAGATACTATACATTCTATTTTTGTTTACACATTGTGATGATTTGATGTATCTTAAAAGACCAGTATTTTGGGAAATGTATGGTGATGTACTTGTAAGGAAGGATGGAGAATGGTATGTTAAACAACATTAGAATGTAATCTATGCAGGACAGACCAAAAATAAATAAACAATAATTTAAATGCTCTTATCTCAAAAACTGTTGTTAAATAAAGTTTGAGCTTTTCACTCCCTTGTATTGCGTCAATAGTCATTTGAAAATAAAACTTGCCTGAATAAAGTTGTCGAAATTGAAAGGAAGGGAGCAGCTCATCCTTACTATTTCCTGTAAAAGTAAGTTTGCTGGTATTCTTGGCTATGATGTTGGCCATTTTCAGTGAAAATTAATTTTTAGTTAAGTTTATGATCATTATTGCATAATTGTTTAATTTTTAGGTCATGCTTTTCTAAACTACTGAGACTGTTGAACATATGCTGAGACCATAAGAAGACTTCACTTGCGTTTGTGAAATTTTTGTGTTACTTTTATTTTGTCTGGGCAACATCTGCAGTTTCCAAGATATCTGCTATTTCAAAGCTGTTCATATTTATTATACTATTTTTTGTTTGTTTCATGGGCATTTAGGCAAAATTGTCATCAATATTTATTAAATCTGGGAGGTCATGTTTTGTGGAGCTTGACATGTGGTAGTGTCCTGTCCAACTGCCGGATGTTTCTCCTTTTTAGGAAAACTCTAAACAAGCGCAAATGGTCGCTGGGTCAGTAAAACTGTGCGGCATATATTAAGATGCAACAAAGGGAAAAAATATGTTAACTTGGAAACAGATTCATCTGTTGTCCTCCAATAATCGATTTAAATTTGATTTCATGTGCCTATCAATTCATTATTTTCATATGTTTTGTATTTAACAGATATTCAGAACTGTTAACACTTTTATATCTCCTATCTGAAAATAGTCTAAAATAAATCTAACCAGTCAATGATAATCTCTATTGTTTAATTATTCAGCCTAATTATAGCGAACGACATGTTATTTCTTGCTAGTGAAATGAAATAAATTATTTAGAGTTTTTCCCAAACAAGTTTCCAGCTCTCAGTTTAATTTTCTTCTCAAAACACTCACTTGTTAAGTTATTGAAAAAGAACGGAACAAAAGAAATTTGCTGGGAAAATTGTAAGTTTCATCAACTCTACCTAAAATTAAAATAATTTAAACATATAGAAAGTAATAATAAAAAAATGCAAACTTTCTGGTTTAAACCATGTATTTCAACAAACCAGTCAACACTAAATACATGTCAAAACCTCACAAAAAGAGGAATGAAAAGATAGAAAAGTGTTTAGTAGAAATTTTAATATAAAATGTATTTTTTGAAATGTCAAATTTAGACAAAATTATGTATAAAACCTAGAGTAAAAGATTACCCTTTCTTTTACAGCTTAACTGAGAACTTGGCATGGTAACATTAAACATGTCCCACATGCCAGGTTTTTAACAAAAAGTGCTTAAATAAAGGTACCAATAAAGGTGTAGACCAAAATGCTATGACATGAAATCCAAAAAACAACAACACGGAAACAAATTTATAAATAAGAAAAAAAGGCACATTGGGAACCCTGGAGATAAAAAATGATCAAAATTTTTGTGAAAGATAAGCTTATCTTTTATACCTTGAAAACAAAAATTAAAAATATTTAAACATTGGACTATTATCAGCTAGCAAAAACATAAATGGATTTTGACCAATTCTTCAAGACTAAAAACTAATTATTTCATTTTTCTTTCTATTTAATTGTTAGATAATTTTGTGAGGTTAGCCTAAGCTACAAAATGTATTTATAAATATAAGAAAACAACTTTGTTGTTGACAGAAAACTGTGGCACCTCCAAGAAAAAAAGTATTGACATTTATGTCACGAAATTTTATGATCCTTTTAAATGTATCCAGTTATTCTGCAATCTCTTTTGCTATCCTCTTTGAAATCTTAATTTAAATGTTAGTAAAAAAATACTCAATTGGAAGAAAGACACCTAAAAATTATGAATAAATTTTAATTGTAAGGTCTCCAGATTTTCTAGATGCTGGCTGACTAGAGTAAAGGTTGCATAATTGTATAGATCAAGAACCAAGGCAGAATATTTGTGCGTTCTTTAAATAGGTACATTATCATTATCATCATCCATCAGGATATGAAAGGAATCTGCTGATCTGGTCATAAAAAATTTGTACAGAAAAATCATCAACAAAAACTCTTTCAGAAACAACAAAAATAACCTAATTTTAATCTGCTCTTCTAAGAATCGTGACCAACTTCTGATTCCTGGAAGTAAGCTTTGTTTAAGTCTCCTGCAAGCGTAATTCTTGCACCCATTCATCATCAGAGTAGTTTCCCTTATCTTTAAAATCCTCATCCTCGGATATGTCCACCTGTTCCAAGGTCTCTCCATTAGCCTCCAGCTCTTTCTTTGACACCATGGCAGCGAGCATTGCATCTTTCCACCACTGGGGCATCTGTTTGGGTGGTTCGTTCCCAGTTTTCTGAGGTAACTCTACAATCTTGCGTACATTTCTCTTGGGGCGGTCGACGGATGCCCTTTCATGTTTCTTATTTTTGGACCCTTTGGGACGTCCAATGGTCTTCTGAGATTGCCTCACTGAAAATATTAAGTCAATTGGAACACTTATTTTTTTTAATGAGCTTAAAAAAAAAATTCTACAAAAAATTATCAAAATTTTGCTTTTAAAAAAAAGGAACTACCCTTATCATTTATAACAAACCAGCTTGCAGTAAACAGACATTCCAATGAAGAGACCTTGACAAAACTATTATTTATGATCAACGAACAACATTTACCAGTTTTTGGGGCTACCGAGGTGTTGCTTTGATCTGGCTCACTTGGTTTTTCACTGGCCTCCACGTTCTTCTCAACGGCTGTGCTACCCTCTCCTGCAGCTTCAACCAGTTTACGCTTTCTTCCGCGCCTGCTACCTGAAGTGACCGACTTGGCGGCCGCCGCCAATTGTTTCAGTTGTTTCTTGTGCATCATCTTGGCTCTCCTTGATTCCAGGGATGCTTTCCTCATTCTTGCCATGTGCTCTCTCTGTGCTAATGATACCTTTCCCTTTTTTCCCCTGTCAAAATGGAGAAAACAAAGAGTCTCAAAAAATTTTAAATACCGTATTTTCCGGCGTATAAGACGACTTTTTAACACATGATAATCTTTTCAAAAGTCGGGGGTCGTCTTATATGCTGGGGGTCGTCTTATAAGCTGGGGGTCGTCTTATAAGCTGGGGGTCGTCTTATAAGCTGGGGGTCGTCTTATATGCTGGGGGTCGTCTTATATGCTGGAGGTCGTCTTATAAGCTGGGGGTCATCTTATATGCTGGGGGTCGTCTTATATGCTGGGGGTCGTCTTATAAGCTGGTATACAGCCCAAACCCTATATTTTAACTGGAAATGGAGGGGGGTCGTCTGATTAGGTACAGTCGTCTTATAAGCCAGAAAATACGGTAATAGAAATAAAACCTGAACAGTTCTGGTTGAAGATTTTCTTAATTCTGTAACATGAACAGCTAATTTCTGTTATGATTAAGTAAGCAAGTATGAATATTTCTAGATGACATGAAATAAAAGCAACATGAAGAAAAAATCCTATAAGGGTTTTTCATTTTAAGTTGTACGGTTATTTTAAGTTGTACAGTACAAGTTTTGATAGCCGATTGTCTGAACCCTTTAACCAGCACAGACTCACATCTTCTTAAATTTCTCTTTCTTTTCCACCTCAACATAATAGCCAAGTGTTGCGGAGGACTGGCTGTCGGGCACAGCGCTGGGTTGTACAGTAGAAAGAACAACAGGCCACATCAGCAAAGCTCTGAATCTGTTGAGACATGAAGGATGATGCCACACTTGATTAGATGAGGATTTTTTTTTTTATATTCTCCTACAAGTGTTTAGGTTTACCATTAACACTGTCAATAAAAAAATATTTTTAAAATCCTCTCAAAATGTTTCAAATTCAAGGAAATTAAGATCACAAGTTTGATGAATTTTAGACTATTTTTGTAATGATTAATTCTTCTCTGTTCTTTTGAGTTTAAAACAGACACAATAGCTGCGTTTAATCATAATTTACGATGGGGGTTAGATTGAACAAAGGTCAGTGTACCCTTAAGCCAAATTGAAAGCCCTTGCAAACAGGATTCAAGCATACCGATTCATGGAACATTTAGTCAAAGGGTCAATTGAACATGCTTAAAGTGTCTGTGAGTGGCTGTGATTGCAATATTCATTTAGCTAGCGAAATCTTACCTGGCAAGTAAAAACTTGTACTCATCCTTCTGCCTGATGGCTCTGATAAGATTACCTCTCTCTTGTTCCTGGGTAGCTCTCAAGTGTTCCTCTCTCTGATCAGTGACCTTTGCTTTGCTGAAGCTTCTGCCAAGAGGTATCTCCACACCTACGGTATCTATGGACTGGTGGAAAGAGAGACATTATTTTTAAGTATCTATGGACTGTTGGAAAGAGAGACATTATTTTTAAGTATCTATGGGCTGTTGGAAAGATGGAAATATTATTTTTAGGCATATATTGACTTTTGGAAAAGGGACATATTGTTAAGGCATATATTGACTTTTGGAAAAGGGACATATTGTTAAAGCATATATTGACTTTTGGAAAAGGGACATATTGTTAAGGCATATATTGACTTTTGGAAAAGGGACATATTGTTAAGGCATATATTGACTTTTGGAAAAGGGACATATTGTTAAGGCATATATTGACTTTTGGAAAAGGGACATATTGTTAAAGCATATATTGACTTTTGGAAAAGGGACATATTGTTAAGGCATATATTGACACTGAGGACATAAATTTTTAAGCATCTAAGGCAGCGGTTCTTAACATGTGGGTCGCGACCCCTTTGGGGGTCACGGGACCCTTTTCCAGGGGTCGCCTAAGACCATCTGAAAACATATATCCTTACAGCTATGAAGTAGCAACGAAAATAATTGTGTGGCTGGGGGGTCGCCATGACACGAGAAACTGTATTAAGGGGTCGCGGCACTAGAAAGGTTGAGAACCACTGATCTAAGGACTATTTGAAAGAAAGATTTTTAAGTATATACAGACTGTTGGAAAGAGGGACATATTATTTTTAAACATATATTGACTGTACGAAACAGATTGTTTTTATATATTGTGAAATGTTTTTATGTTTAATTTGTAATCATATTTAGTAATGGCAGTTCCTGAATTGTGATAAAGTAACATGGTATTTGGATTTTCTGTCTTTTTAACGCAAAAAATCTTTATCAGTTTTTTCTTTAAAAAAAAAAAATGGTTCAAGGTTTAAATTTATTAAAAAGTCTGAACCAAGACATCTTCATATTCCAGACTTTCACATTAATTATTGTCTATATTGCATATTTGTTGAGACACTCTGCAGAGATCAATCCCATTCATTACCATTCATTTCTCAGATTGAGACAGTTACAACTGTCTTGGCTGTAGGATGGGAAGATGGGCTGACAGCAGTAAAAACAGGCTGTGCGTGTCATCGAATTCCCTTTAATAATTTTATAAAAAGGTGGAAGCGGTGGCTATTGTTTTTTTTTTTAGAGAGGTCAGTGTAATTTGTATAGCTAAGTACCAAAAATCTGTACCACATCAATAATTACTTTATTCTAATTCCAAGAATCTCCCCCCCACCAATTTGTTATATACTAGCATAACCCTTACGCTAACCTAACGTCGATGTAAAAATTGCACAAATAGATGGCTAACATTTAATGAAGGTGTAAAAAGACTTACCTCAAAAGCTTCAAACCTGTTCTCTGCTTCTTTGAAATGAACAATTTTGCCAGCATTTGAATCCACGCCTACAATGACAACGTCCGCCTCCTTGTTGGAAAGTTTATGAGAAGACAAAAGTTTACGAGCTTTGTCCTCTGGCAGATGAACGCCGCTCACTCCAGTGTAGCGGTTAATTTTTTTAGTCCACTTCGGCAACATTTTAGGTACATAACTGTCATTGCTCTCCGCTGTGACCTCAACAACTCCTACGGCCTTCCCAGTTGTTGAGCTGGTAGAAGTTTTGAAAAGGTCAGGTGCACAAGCTGTGTGTCTGGAACTAACATGTACTGTGTAAGCATTTTGTTCACTAGCATGAACTGTGTAAGCGTGCTGTTCACTGGAATCCTTACAATGACTAATTGACTGCAAAGAGTTCCCATCAGTAACAACTTGACCCAAGTCAGAAGCATAATTTTTTAGAACATTTTTACTGTCATCTGTATGTGAAGCATTAGATGAAAACCTGCTCTCGTTTTTCACAATCGCATCAGCTTCTTCAATGACAACTTTGACATCAATTTCTGCCGATGTTTGAGGGGCATTTTCAAAATCCAAAGAGGCGTCGGTTGTCAGCTGCACGTTGTCAGGAATGACAGCCCCCTCTTGACCCTCAGACAACTTGCTTGTTGAAGGCACCAAGGTGACACTGTTTGGGGTCAAGGTCATGCTTATGTATCCATGAGTCGGCAGGGACGCAAGGCCGGCATGATCATCTGACTTCTGGAAACACACCTGGGAATTGTTCAGGCTTCCAGAAGGTGCCTTGACTATGCTGTAGCTGCTCTTCTGAGACAGATGGCTGTCGTCACACAAGAAAGGTTTGATGTCACTTGACACGGAGGGCAGAGTTGGAACGCCCGGCTCTTGATTCGTACTGGATTCATTGATTCTCCTCTTTTTCAGACGATTAGTTTCAGACGAGACTATGACGTCGAACCGAGGTCTGCCTGCAGATAGGGTGAAGCCCTCAAACTGACTAGCCTGCTCTTGGAGACCTTTGGAGTCAGTTGGCAGAAACCACACACCAGGCTCGGCATCTGTCATGTGGACTTGCTGTGAATCTTCTTGGCCCATAGCCGCCACCGTCATCTGTGGTCGCCTTTTGTAAGAATCGGGATTGTAAAATTTACCAGCTTTTGAAATGAGCTCATCTCGCCTCAACAACAGCGCCCTCAAGGCGCGCAGCGTGGTGAAGTTTGGCGGCAGCAGCGGCAAATCAGTTACAGTTTTTTTCTCCAAGGTTGAAAGTTGAGCTGACTCGTCGGCTATCTTTTGCTGACTCCAGGGTTCTATCTTTTTAAGACCAGGGTCAGGCTGTGAGGTGTTGGCCAACCTGCAGGCCCTGGGCATTCTTTTAGGTGACTGGTCTTTGTCTGATGGGCTGGCCACATCTGACGTACCCTGTGGAACGACTTCAGTGACTCTTGTCTTGTTTATTTCCCTCCTGGTGCCAGTGTTGACCTCATCTAGACCTCCAGGGTTTAGCCCTGATGCTGGCCCGGCTGGCAATGTATCCGACAACAAGACGGAAGAGGTGTCAGCCACAGAGGTTGTTGGGACAGATGAGCTGCCGCCGTCTGATGAAACAGCATTCCCATACAGAGCAGGGAGTTCTTTCTCAACCTCAACATCACTGGTCAGTAAATCCTCCATGTACTCTACATCTCTGTACACTGAACGAAGTTTGGTCTCTATTATCAATTCTTCTTCTGAGAATTTCTCTGTCAGCACATTCCTCAACTTTCTCATGCGCTTCTGCACAAATTTGATCTTTTGTTCTTTTTTCTTATCACTAAAATCTGTTCTGGCAGCAATTTCTTCCAGGGCTTTCTCTAATTCAGCATGGTCTTTATTGTCTCTTAGTTCTTCTTCAACACTGAGAAGCCTACTGCGTTGTTTTTGTCTGTTTAATCTCAGATGTCTGGCACCGTTATACAGAGTCTCAACATCTGTCCCTAGACCCTGCAGTCAAGTATAGGATGAGTAAGTCAAGAGTAACTTGTTTACTTTCAGACATTCAAACATAGAAAAAATAAAAATCTCTCTGTGTGGTTATTAAAATAGATATTGTGGGATATTGAGAAGTGAATGGAGAGGCGCTACAAGGACAGTAAAGGCCAGAGAGGCACTGTGAAGGCAGACAAAGAGGTACTCTTAGAGGAGATCAATAGGCACTGTGAAGGCAGACAAAGAGGTACTCTTAGAGGAGATCAATAGGCACTGTGAAGGCAGTTTAAAAACAGAGAGGCGCTGTGCGGAAAGTAAAGGACACATAAATAGGCACTAGGGGGGGGGACAGTAAAGGGCAGGAAGACTCTGTGAGCAGTAAAGGCCAGAGAGGTACTGTGAAGGCAGACAAAGAGGTACTCTGAGGGCAGATAAATAGGCACCGTGAGGGGAGTTTAAGGACAGACAGGCACTGTCAGGGCAGATAAGGACAGAGAGACACTGTGAGGACAGATAAGGACAGAGAGACACTGTGAGGACAGATAAGGACAGAGAGACACTGTGAGGACAGATACAGACAGAGAGACACTGAGGACAGATAAGGATAGAGAGGCTCTGTGAGGGCATATAAGGATAGAGAGACTCTGAGGGCAGATAAGAGCAGAGAGGCACTGTTAGGGGAAGAGAAGGACAGAGAGGCACTGTCAGGGCAGTTAAAGACAGAGAGACACTGTGAGGGCATATAAGGACAGAGAGGCACTGTGAGGACAGATAAGGACAAAGAGGCACTGTTAGGGCAGTTAAAGACAAAGAGGCACTGTGAGGGTGGATAAATAGACACTGGGAGGGCATTTAAGAACAGAGACCTTGAGCAGTAACTGTGGTACAATCAGATCTATGTGACAAACAAACATTTGTAGCTACCTTGAGCAGTAACTGTGGTACAATCAGATCTATGGGACAAACAAACATTTGTAGCTACCTTGAGCAGTAAGTGTGGTACAATCAGGTCTATGTGACAAACAAACATTTGTAGCTACCTTGACCAGTAACTGTGGTACAATCAGGTCTATGTGACAAACAAACATTTGTAGCTACCTTGAGCAGTAAGTGTGGTACAATCAGGTCTATGTGACAAACAAAAATTTGTAGCTACCTTGACCAGTAACTGTGGTACAATCAGATCTATGTGACAAACAAACATTTGTAGCTACCTTGAGCAGTAAGTGTGGTACAATCAGGTCTATGTGACAAACAAACATTTGTAGCTACCTTGAGCAGTAACTGTGGTACAATCAGGTCCAGCTCATCCAACTCTTGCTCTATTTCACTGGCAGGTCGCCTGTCTCTTTCTGTTCAAAGTGAAAGCAAACCAAATAACTCATCAATCTTCATTCAGCATTGAGAATAGTTTGAGAAGAGTAACCAGGACAAACAGTTTTATCCAACAGCTAAATGAACAACAACGTGTCTCCACGATAATCTCGATAACATCTTGGAGATCTCCATCTTGTGTTTGTGTCTATCTATAAATACATAGTAAAGACAGTGAGACATGTCAATAATAACATTCTTACCAAGTATACGTCGATATCCCATTCTCATATTTGATCTCTTCTTACTGCATATGATGTTCCTTAGCTGTACATCTAAATTTGAGCTCTCATCTGCATACTGGCGTTTTCTCATCTTCCTTTGCTGGAATTAAGTTTTTTTCAATTCAAATCCATGCTAAAAAATACATTTTTAATTAAAAAAAAAACACTTTTAAACAAGTAAGAAGCGTTGAAGGCCCTCATATTTACCAGCTATTTGTAATCACTACACTTAAAAATACATGTTAATTCTAAAAATACATGATAATTCTAAAAATACATGATAATTTTAAAAATACATGATAATTCTAAAAATACATGTAATTCTAAAAGTACATGATAATTCTAAAAAATACATGATAATTCTAAAAATACATGATAATTCTAAAAATACATGATAATTCTAAAAATACATGTTAATTCTAAAAATACATAATTCTAGAAATACATGACAATTCTAAAAATACATGATTATTCTAAAAATGCATGATAATTTTAGGATATTAAACAAAACTTGTTATTTTTTAATTTACACTTTCGGATGTAGCTTTACTATCAAATCAATTTTTGCCCCTTTCAAATTCCCCTTTCCACTGATAAATAATTTAACAAAACAATAAAACTTTGTCACAAACGATGTACAAATTCAGTTGTCACAACATTGATTCAACTGTCAACTTTTGCACTGAAACAAAGACCACACACTCCTAATAGGCAAAAGTCAGCAGACCACACATGCCTATAACCAAAAGTCAACTTTTGCATTGACACACAGACCACACATGCCTATAACCAAAAGTCAACTTTTGCATTGACATACAGACCACACATGCCTATAACCAAAAGTCAACTTTTGCATTGACACACAGACCACACATGCCTATAACCAAAGTCAACTTTTGCATTGACACACAGACCACACATGCCTATAACCAAAAGTCAACTTTTGCATTGACACACAGACCACACATGCCTATAACCAAAAGTCAACTTTTGCATTGACACACAGACCACACATGCCTATAACCAAAAGTCAACTTTTGCATTGACACACAGACCACACATGCCTATAACCAAAAGTCAACTTTTGCATTGACACACAGACCACACATGCCTATAACCAAAAGTTAGCTTTTGCATTGACACACAGACCACACATGCCTATAACCAAAAGTCAACTTTTGCATTGACACACAGACCACACATGCCTATAACCAAAAGTCAACTTTTGCATTGACACACAGACCACACATGTCTATAGGCAAAAGCAAAGACACACATATAACACATGCCTATAAGCAAAAGCACAGACACAAAGACAACACATGCTTATAGGCAAAGCTAAGACACAGACAACACATGCCTATAGGCAAAAGCAAAGACACACAGACAACACTTTCCTATAGGCAAAAGCACAGACACACCTAATAGGCAAATGTCATTGCCAGATTTAGAATGTCCTCTCACCTGTTTAACTGAAGAGGCTTTCAGCAGATCCTGTACATTTATTGCACCTTCCCTCAAGAACGCCTTGTTCAGTAGACTTTCTAACAAGCGACTTTGCTGCTGTCAAGTTATAGCAACAAGAAAATGGCATGAGCAAAGGGAGCAAGCATGGAAAACTGATCATCATTAATTAAAAAAAAAAATTTAAAAAAATAAAAATCTTATTGGAAATCTTCTCTAAGGATATCATTACGTTTTATGAGATGAAGCCAGAAGAGAGGGCACAAGTGTTATACAGAAGAGAGGGCACCAGTGTTATACAGAAGAGAGGGCACCAGTGTTATACAGAAGAGAGGGCACCAGTGTTATACAGAAGAGAGGGCACCAGTGTTATACAGAAGAGAGGGCACCAGTGTTATACAGAAGAGAGGGCACCAGTGTTATACAGAAGAGAGGGCACCAGTGTTATACAGAAGAGAGGGCACCAGTGTTATACAGTAAATCTATTTTTTAAAATCTGAATTGCTGTACCAAGAGAATTATCTTCCAGCAGTTTGTCTCATACACAGAAGTGTCTCTCAAAGCTGCTTCAATTAATCATAAGCAGTCCAGCATGATGAGCGGCACATATAGCAGCGCATATAGATAAAGTAGAAAACTAACTGTCCTGACTAACTGTAAGCAGGTCAAGTCTGTACACAGTGGCGTGTATAGCTGGCGTTACTGCCACCAGGGGTGGGCCAATATTCTTGCTGACCCACTTCCACAAAAAAAAAAAGAAACTCTGCAGTTAGCAGAAAATACAGCCCCCCAATATAAAGAAAAAATATGACTCCTAGGGTGACACACCCCCCTCCCCCTCGCCACCCCTCCCTTCCTACGCCACTGCCTGTACAATAATAAATCTGCGTTAAAATGGAATCAGCATTTATATAATTAATTAGAGTAGTTTCTTGAGATACTGATGACACGTTTTTTTCTTTGATCAGTTTCAGAATGCTGTTGGGATGATGCATTCTCCCCGGGCAGTTGTACACTGTACATTGGTGTGTGCCACAAAATACATTGGGATGATGCATTCTCCCAGGGCAGTTGGACACTGTACATTGGTGTGTGCCACAAAATACATTGGGATGATGCATTCTCCCAGGGCAGTTGGACACTGTACATTGGTGTGTGCCACAAAATACATTGGGATGATGCATTCTCCCAGGGCAGTTGTACACTGTACATTGGTGTGTGCCACAAAATACATTGGGATGATGCATTCTCCCCGGGCAGTTGTACACTGTACATTGGTGTGTGCCACAAAATACATTGGGATGATGCATTCTCCCCGGGCAGTTGTACACTGTACATTGGTGTGTGCCACAAAATACATTGGGATGATGCATTCTCCCCGGGCAGTTGTACAGTGAACATGGGTGTGCCAGAAAATACATTGGGATGATGCATTCTCCCCGGGCAGTTGTACAGTGAACATGGGTGTGCCAGAAAATACAAGGCCAGATGTTTGAGTTACCACTGCAGCCTGCGTGCATCAGCAGTTCACTAAATAAGTTCACCTTTCAGCTCATAAGAACACTAGTCACACCGTCCATAAGAACACTAGTCACACCGTCCATAAGAACACTAGTCACACCGTCCATAAGAACACTAGTCACACCGTCCATAAGAACACTAGTCACACCGTCCAATTACCTGATTTAATTATACAACATTATTTCTGGGACAGAGCTTGAATTCATTTTTATATTTTATTAAAATTTATGTTAAAAAAAAAATTAAAAACTTCTCAAGTAGAACGAAGAAAACTATATACACCAATACACCACTGTCATAAGACCAGCTGTCATTTACGGATGTGAGACTTGGTCCCTTACCAACAATAAAACCCTGGAGAACCTGTTCAGTGCATTGGAGAGGAAAAGCCTCAGAAAATATATGGTCCATTGATAGATATCGATAGGAGATAGATCAATTGTTTGAAGACCCACCATAAGTCGCAACAATTAAGGCAGTGGACAGGACACCTCTAGAGGATGGCCGATTGTGGAACAACAAAAAGTGATATGCAGGCAGCAACCTAGGGCATGACAAAATTATTTAACGGATTATGCTTGAAGAATTTAAGTTGACAAATTACTAACATGGTTGTTCAGAAAAAAAAACGTATCCCATTATTAAGTTGGCATGAGAAGGTTCATAGAAGAATAACTTAAAGTACCTTAGATGTAGTCTCCATTGCTGATTCTTCTGTCTCGAGAGTGTTACCCACTGCTTCTTCCATTATGTCCTGTGTTTGTTCAGCCTGACATTTTGATGATTTATTTCTGTTAAAGTGAAAAAATTCAGGGCTAAAACGTGTACTTTAGGAAAGTGAAGACACTTTGGTTTAATCTGATCAACAAAGAATGAATGTTGTTATTGTAAAGCAGTATTCAGGAAGTAACAATTTCTAAAACATTTCTTGACAGCTAAAAAAACAGAAGTTTTGACAAGGTAGTTTCTGTTCTCCGAGCAAAACTTCCACCAATCTCACAGCAACCCTTCCACCAATCTCAAAGCAACCCTTCCACCAATCTCACAGCAACCCATACACTAACACTCTTCTCTCATAGTAGAGTTGCTAGATTTACTCAGGACACATTTAAGATCAGTCACATTTGTAAAGTCATTCTGTCTTCAGTCACATTTGTAAAGTCATTCTGTCTTCAGTCACATTTGTAAAGTCATTCTGTCTTCAGTCAAATTTGTAAAGTCATTCTGTCTTCAGTCACATTTGTAAAGTCCCCCTGTCTTCAGTCACATTTGTAAAGTCCCTCTGTCTTCAGTTACATTTGTAAAGTCCCTCTGTCTTCAGTCACATTTGTAAAGTCCCTGTCTTCAGTCACATTTGTAAAGTCCCCCTGTCTTCAGTCACATTGGTCTTACATCAACAACCACCATTGTCTTTCAATTCACCTACTTTTGATTACTTTCCTTTTCTCTGTTAATTATTCTCTGAAGGTTCTCAGTCAGACGCTGGTGGAAGCTGATTTTGTTGGCCCATGTTTTCAAGTTCTTCGTGTTGCCCACGGAAGTGGAAAAGTATTTTAAGTGAAGGGGAGGTCTTGGAGGGATAATATCAGGGTCTGTGCAGTGGACAAAAATGACAACAAATTAGAACAAAAATTGGTCACTCATGAAATGTTTGTTAATGTGAACGAATTAGCACAAGAGGGCGATACACAAATATTTCAGTAACAGCATCACACCTAATCCACTCTTTGTCTTCTTGCTTTTGACAAGGTCTTTTTAATGCAGAGCATCTTATCTGGGGCACGGCATCATATATCTGGGGCACAGCATTGTTTATCTATGTGGGACACAGCATTGTATATGGGGCACATCATTGTATATCTGGGGCACAGCATTGTATATCTGGGGCACAGCATTGTATATCTGGGGCACAGCATTGTATATGAGCACAGCATTGTGTATGGAGTACAGCATCATATATGGGGAACATCGTATATGGGGCACATCATTGTATATCTGGGGCACAGCATTGTATATGGACAAAGCATTGTGTATGGGGTACAGCATCATATATGGGGCACAGCCTTGTATATCTGGGGCACAGCATTGTTTATCTATGTGGGACACAGCATTGTATACCTGGGGCACAGCATTGTATATCTATCTGGGACGCAGCATTGTATATCTGGGGCACAACATTGTATGTCCGGGGCACAGCATTGTATATATGGGGTACAGCATCATATATCCAAGCACTTCATTGTATATGAGGCACATTATTATATATATAGGTCACATCATCGTATATCTGGGGCACATCATTATATATCTGTGGCACAGCATTGTATATGGGGTACAGCATTGTATATATGGGGCACTGCATTATATATCTTTGGTACAGCATCATAAATGGGGCACATAATTGTTTATCTGGGGCACTGCATCATATATCTGGGGCACACATCCTATATTTGGGGCACACCAGCATCTCATTTTTTTTCTTGGGGTGGGGGTTGGGGTGCAAAAAAAAAAAAAAAGGGGGGGGGGGGGGGGGGGGGATAAAGTCCAATCAGGTTTTTTTTCTAATCAACAGTTGAATCTGGTCCACCAATGCCTTCAGCCAAAATGGACAGGATACAAAAAATAATATTATTTTTATTGCATTGTAGAGTTGAATGAAATTGATATTTTTAATGAGCGATTTTAAACAGAAGGGTGAAATTTAAAACAATAGAAAATGTTTACACCCTTTTATGCCAAAAATTGTACAGCTGTTTTGTGGGTTTTAAAAAAAGATTTCAAAGGCCCTCTCAAATCCTATGAAACCTGTCGAGATATAATATTGCCGAGGGGTAAAGTCGAGTATTCATTCTCTAGTTTTCTCTGTTTCTGGACTTGTAGCAAGAAATAATGTCACAAAATACCCCATACGGCACCAAAGCAACCAATACGAGGAGGGGCCATCTGTGAAGTACATACGCAAAAAAAAAAAAAAAGTAACATTTTCTAGCCCCTTCCTCCCCCAGTAACCCACCAGAGTAACTACTGTTTGCAGTTAACAGATGGCGTTTAGTGATGTAAATATGTGTTATATTTATTTCTACCCAACCCTTTATTTTAGTTTATTTATTTGCTAATTCAAAGTGTACTTGTTAGAATTTAACACAGGGAGCCTGGTGAAAACCTGCATTTGGCATATTCCCGGAAACAAAAATTTTAGAAGCACTGGAGTAGCACAACAAAATATACTTCACATGCGCCTGGAACATACGGTGGCTAAATAACTGCAATATCTCTACTACTTAGTACTATCTCAGTAGAGCAAGTTCATTTGTACATGGAAACAGTATGAAGATAATTTCCAAAAACATTGCATGATATTTTTACAGCATTCAAGATATAAATTTGCTATTTTTCCAATTTCAGAGTTTCAGGAAAAATATTGTTGTTTTTTTTTACTTTCTGCCGAGAACCCCCCCCCCCCCCCCCCCGTGTCATATGTACGTCTAGGAAAAATCTAAAAAATCGACAACCATTCTTCGCCACTCAGTGTGTATGTACTTACTGGGTGTCCAGGACTGACTAAAATAAAATTGTCACTAGGTTGACTACGCAAATAGTACTATTGCAGTGTGTAGGAAATTCAATATGAAAACAAAAAGCTACTATATTTTTAATTATTTTTTAATCATAAAAAAAACCACCCAGAATGTATATATTTTCAACGCCGGTCTCTTAAAATTGTAGTTCTGTCAGGTCTTGTGTACAATAGTAAAAGACCTCTCGAAATCATACATTGTATGCCAAAACCATATGAGTAAACAGGTCTGTAGTTTGGCATTATTTCATCTACCTAGTTTGGTGTCATTCCATCTACCTACTTTGATGTCATTCCATCTACCTTCTTTGGTGTCATTCCATCTACATACTTTGGTGTCATTCCATCTACCTAGTTTGGTGTCATTCCATCTACCTACCAACTCCCTGCATCCTGTCCAGGTCTTGGCGTCTGTAGTCTTGCAGTGTCACCCCAAGTTTGACAGCAAAGAAATCTTTGGCTCTGGCCTCCATCTTCCTTCTCTCATTGGCCGTCAAAGACTTTCCCAACAACATTCTTTTGGTCTGTTCCTGAAAAATGAAAGGAGTTGATTTAATAAGTCTCAAAGACTCAACAAGTCCATTCAACACACCCTGCTTGGTGGGTTTTCACGGTCAATTTGTACAAAGATTAGTCCAATTTACATGGGGGCGCTCTGAGCCACACTGTCGTGCTGTCCAAAACTCAGTTTGTGGGTTGACCCACATTGACGACTGCAAAGGTGGAGCCCTGGCCAAGAAACGATTCTTCGTGAGTCGCCATTCAAGAACTACGCCCAGTAGCGCTTCAGCGACTCTATGCATAGATTTAAAAACTCTCAAAGATTCTACATGCCTCATAGATTTAAAAAGTCTCTAGGAATTGACAAGTTCATTTTACCATAAATGTCTTGATGGTGAGATATGTATTGATTTTACAAAAGCAAATTTCATTAAATGAAAATCATACAAAGACAAAAATGAATGAACTTTTAAATGAATTAGTCTGTAAGTAATAGTTTAGTGAATATTAGCATGGAATTGGTTTACTGAATTTTAGCATCAAATCATTTACGGAATATTACCATGAAATGGTTTACTGAATTTTAGCATCAAATGTTTTACTGAATATTTGCATGAAATGGGTTACTGAATATTAGCATGAAATGGTTTACTACAATGGTCAGCAAATCGCGGCATGCGGCTCTTTAGTGACCTGAGTGCGGCTCAGCCAGCTGGCCACAAATCATTTTTGACTTAGAAGAACATGATTCTTGACAGGTTCTTGAAAATAAATTTGGCTCTCAAAAATGTGTTAATTGTCCCACTGCTGATTTTTGGCTCTTTTGACTAGTGAGTTTGCTGACCACTGTTTCACTGAATATTAGTGGGGCAGTGTGCCACCTGTGGGGCAGTGTGCCACCTGTGGGGCAGTGTGCCACCTGTGGGGCAGTGTGCCACCTGTGGGGCAGTGTGCCACCTGTGGGGCAGTGTACCGCGCTCCTATTGTACGATTGTTTACCCCAGGTGTGTTCACAACCACTGAACTGGGCATGGCTATCCCGCAGGTGACCGGTGAACAGCTCACGACACAGATGTCATGAGTTCCCAGGTGTGGAATGTATATAAGGCTGGTGATTTATCCCAAGAAAAAGGCCTGGTCTGGTACTGAGTGTGTGAACGGAGACGTGCTGTGTGTACACTGATGCTTGAGGTTGGCTACATGTGTTTTTGAGATGTGGCTGTCTGTGCAAAATTATTTTACAACACGATGATTAAACAAAGCTATAAGTCTCAAGATCTGCATTTCTGTGCTGTTATAAAATTTAAGCTGTAAGCCACACCACCACTCAGCTACATAAGCATGTAATCGTTTACTGAATATTAGTTTTTAATGGAATATTAGTTTGTAATGGTTTACTGAATGTTAGCATGTAATGGTTTACTGAATGTTAGCATGCAATGGTTTACTGAATATTAGCATATAATGGTTAAACTGAATATTAGCATGTAATGGTTTACTGAATATTAGCATATAATGGTTTACTGAATATTAGCATGTAATGGTTTACTGAATATTAGCATATAATGGTTAAACTGAATATTAGCATGTAATGGTTAAACTGAATATTAGCATGTAATGGTTTACTGAATATTAGCATGTAATGGTTTAACTGAATATTAGCATGTAATGGTTTACTGAATATTAGCATGTAATGGTTAACTGAATATATTAGCATGTAATGGTTTACTGAATATTAGCATGTAATGATTTACTGAATGTTAGCATGTAATGGTTTACTGAATATTAGCATGTAATGGTTTACTGAATATTAGCATGTAATGGTTTACTGAATATTAGCATATAATGGTTAAACTGAATATTAGCATGTAATGGTTTACTGAATATTAGCATGTAATGGTTTACTGAATATTATCATATAATGGTTTACTGAATATTAGCATATAATGGTTTACTGAATATTATCATATAATGGTTTACTGAATGTTAGCATGTAATGGTTTACTGAATGTTAGCATGTAATGGTTTACTGAATATTAGCATATAATGGTTTACTGAATATTAGCATATAATGGTTTACTGAATGTTAGCATGTAATGGTTTACTGAATATTAGCATATAATGGTTTACTGAATATTAGCATATAATGGTTTACTGAATATTAGCATATAATGGTTTACTGAATGTTAGCATATAATGGTTTACTGAATATTAGCATATAATGGTTTACTGAATATTAGCATATAATGGTTTACTGAATGTTAGCATATAATGGTTTACTGAATATTAGCATGTAATGGTTTACTGAATATTAGCATATAATGGTTTACTGAATATTAGCATGTAATGGTTTACTGAATGTTAGCATATAATGGTTTACTGAATATTAGCATATAATGGTTTACTGAATATTAGCATATAATGGTTTACTGAATATTAGCATGTAATGGTTTACTGAATATTAGCATACAATGGTTTACTGAATATTAGCATATAATGGTTTACTGAATATTAGCATATAATGGTTTACTGAATATTAGCATGTAATGGTTTACTGAATATTAGCATGTAATGGTTTACTGAATATTAGCATATAATGGTTTACTGAATATTAGCATGTAATGGTTTACTGAATATTAGCATGTAATGGTTTACTGAATATTAGCATATAATGGTTTACTGAATATTAGCATGTAATGGTTTACTGAATATTAGCATGTAATGGTTTACTGAATATTAGCATGTAATGGTTTACTGAATATTAGCATGTAATGGTTTACTGAATATTAGCATGTAATGGTTTACTAAATGATAACATTTAATGTCAAACTTACTGTTTGTTTATCAAACCACTCCTTCTGTTCTTTCCATTTGAGGAGAGTTTTATGTCGACCCAGTAGCATACTGTCTGTACGGCCTTGGAAATGTGGAGACATCTTGCACCAAACTAAATGTTGGTTTCCATGGGAACACAGTCAACAGTGGATATTTCAGCTTCACATTTTCTTAAACTAACTAGATTAGTTTTAGTACATTTATGTGACTATTTAAAAATAAAATTTTCACTTAAAACAACAAAAAAAATATTTCTCAATTTACCAATTAATTAAATGCACATTTGAAAAGGTATGTTAACTTTGAAAAGGTATGTTAACTTTGAAAAGGTATGTTAACTTTGAAAAGGTATGTTAACCTTGAAAAGGTATGTTAACTTTGAAAAATTTGATAAGAAAAAAAATGGTGATTCAACTAAATTTAGCATGTTGCATTTTTCAAGTCTCTAAATTTGTTCAGAATTTTCTTCTCCAGATAATCAAAAGTGTGGTTTACCTGGACCCAACTGCTTATATAGTTTGAGAAGCTTCAAGTCCTCATCATAGGTAAAGTAAGTGAAATTGAGATTAGGAGCCAAGCAGTTGACATATCTGATGAATAGATAGCAATAAGTAGCTCTACTGAGTAGATAGCGTACAGTAGCTCCATTTATCCCTGTGTACTGCATGACATCAGGGCAGAATATTGAATATAATTCATGTACAAAATATTATTTGGTCAATTTAATTTTTTCAAAAATATTCCAAAAACCCCTAAATACAAAAGTTCACAGATTTGGTCCTCTCATGTGGTCCTCTCATGTGGTCCTCTCATTTGGTCCCCTCACAAAATAAAACAATCAATTTACCTGTCTCTGCACTGCATCATGTTGCGAGTTCCAACATATTTAGATATTTTAGACCATGAGAAGCCAAGAATCTCCACAGCAGCCAGAAGTTTCTGTTAAGAACATGAAGTTATAAATCTTAAGTTCAAACAATGCATTGAACTAAAATATAACACTAAACACAACATTTCTCTTAGTAGTTTTACACATTTGATACCCTACAAAATTTTTTTTTAAAACTTAAAAATAATAATTTAGTAGTTCACGCTTTATCAACATTCATTGCAAATGTGTAACAATCCCTTTAAAATGACACAGTCGTCACTACAATGATTTGAGACTAGCTCTTTGGAATAACACAATCATGACTAGAATGAATTGAGACAATCTCTTTGGAATAACGCAATCATGACTAGAATGAATTGAGACAATCTCTTTGGAATAACACAATCATGACTAGAATGAATTGAGACAATCTCTTTGGAATAACACAATCATGACTAGAATGAATTGAGACAATCTCTTTTGAATAACGCAATCATGACTAGAATGAATTGTGTCAATCTCTTTGGAATAACGCAATCATGACTAGAATGAATTGAGACAATCTCTTTGGAATAACACACTCATGACTAGAATGAATTGAGACAATCTCTTTGGAATAACACAATCATGACTAGAATGAATTGAGACAATCTCTTTGGAGTAACACAATCATGACTAGAATGAATTGAGACAATCTCTTTGGAATAACACAATCATGACTAGAATGAATTGAGACAATCTCTTTGGAATAACACAATCATGACTAGAATGAATTGAGACTATCACTTTTGATTTTGATTGACACATTCATGACAATATTGAATTGAGAGTGGAAGGAAATAGTGGTACAAGTTATGTGGAAGCTTGAGATAGAAAGACAAGACAATGAAGAGAGAACGTTTCAGCCAAGTGCCTTCTTCAGCAGACAGGACAAAAGAAGAAACAACAAGAGATAGAAAACAGTTCAAAAACTTTCAGTGTTTGGAGTTTGCCATGAATGCTATGTTATTGCCAGAAGTTAAGTTTTCCAAAACAGAAAGATGCATTCTCTCCAAAAGATTACTGGAATTTAAAGAATTTATGTAATATTACTGTGAAAAATAAGATTTTAATCTACAAAAATATTTAGGGTATAAGTAAAATATAAGAAATAAGAAAAGAAATACGGGAAAATTGAGGATCATAAGTGGAAGATTGATTCCATATGGTGATATTGTGCACAAAATCGGAATCAATTTGTTTTCCTTCCTAACCTCTAGCTGGTGTGTTAGTACAGGAAATCAGAGCCTTGATGGAAACATCTGATGCCCTTTGTGTTTATCTCCATTGATATGGGATGAGACCGGGATAAGTTTTGATATGTTCATTAAAGATGTTCATTGAACCTTTCGATATCAACAAATATGTTCAGTGAACTTTTTGATATCAACAAAATGTTTAGTGCACCTTTTGATATCAAAGAAGAGGTTCAGGGCAGCTTTCAAAATCAATGAAGATGTTCAGGTTAACTTTCAGTATCAACAAAGATGTTCAGTGAACCTTCGATATCAACAAAAATGTTTAGCAAAGAAGATGTTCAGGGAAACTTTCAATATCAACGAAGATGTTCAGGGAAACTTTCAATATCAACGAAGATGTTCAGGGAAACTTTCAATATCAACGAAGATGTTCAGGGAAACTTTCAATATCAATGAAGATGTTCAGGGAAACTTTCAATATCAACGAAGATGTTCAGGGAAACTTTCAATATCAACGAAGATGTTCAGGGAAACTTTCAATATCAACGAAGATGTTCAGGGAAACTTTCAATATCAACGAAGATGTTCAGGGAAACTTTCAATATCAACGAAGATGATCAGGGAAACTTTCAATATCAACGAAGATGTTCAGGGAAACTTTCAATATCAACGAAGATGTTCATGGAAACCTATGAGATATTGAGCATTCTTGCTAACTAAAAGGTCAAAGCAACTTACAGCATCTTCAAATGAGGACCACTTGCCATGGTGCTGCTTGGGATCTATCTTATTGAACCTCAACATGCACTCTATGGGACTTCTGGACTCTATCATGGAGGCCACTGTGGAGAGGAAATTTCTTGTGATAAATGCCCACCTCTCACTAATTGTGTCATATAATGATACTGAAAACCATGCAGTTTATTAGTGTTAAAAAAATTAAATGTATGTTCTAGACACTTAAAATTTATGAGATGGTGTATTCCAAACAGACTAGATAAAATGCAATGCTAATTAACAAGATTTGACAACTGAAAATAAAATAGCATTCATAGTTTGTTCGGTACTGCCCTGCTGCAAAACTGAGCTAAACCAGGACAGCTAGTAACTTGACCAGGAAAGCTCAGAACCTTAATCCAAAGGGCTTGATTGAACCAGATGCAAAGTGTCGGGTTGGCATAAGTAAACAACTATAAACTGACCATGTCTCCAGCTGTAGTAGCCCATAAACTATTATAAGCTGACCATGTCTCCAGCTGTAGTAGCCCGTACAGTAAACTATTATAAATTGACCTTGTCTCCAGCTGTAGTAGCCCATAGAGTAAATTATTATAAACTGACCATGTCTCCAGCTGTAGCAGCCCATAGGGTAAACTATTATAAACTGACCATGTCTCCAGCTGTAGCAGCCCATAGAGTAAACTATTATAAACTGACCATGCCTCCAGCTGTAGTAGCCTATAGAGTAAACTATTATAAACTGACCATGCCTCCAGCTGTAGTAGCCTATAGAGTAAACTATTATAAACTGACCATGCCTCCAGCTGTAGTAGCCCATAGAGTAAACTATTATAAACTGACCATGCCTCCAGCTGTAGTAGCCCATAGAGTAAATTGTTATAAACTGACCATGCCTCCAGCTGTAGTAGCCTATAGAGTAAACTATTATAAACTGACCATGTCTCCAGCTGTAGTTGCCTATAGAGTAAACTATTATAAACTGACCATGCCTCCAGCTGTAGTAGCCCACAGAGTAAACTATTATAAAATGACCATGCCTCCAGCTGTAGTAGCCCATAGAGTAAAATATTATAAACTGACCATGTCTCCAGCTGTAGCAGCCCATAGGGTAAACTATTATAAACTGACCATGTCTCCAGCTGTAGTAGCCTATAGAGTAAACTATTATAAACTGACCATGCCTCCAGCTGTAGTAGCCCATATTTTCTTTAGTGTTGGTGGTGACTTTCAGCAGTTTTTCATTCTCTGCCTTCGTCCAAGGCCTGAATAAAAAACAAAACCAAAAACATTAATCCAATAATAACAAAAAACAAAATGGTCTTTTGACAGAGTAGTATATCCTGGGCCACATCTAATTCCATTATAAGCTAATGCCGTCATAATCTGGGCTCAGCTCTTAACTGATGCTTGGCACCTTTATGTCTGATTGGAGCTGTAACTAATTATGGCAGCAGATGTAATAGTTTAGGGAAATTCATCAGAAGAAAACACCAGGAATTACCTCCCCCTCCTCTCCCCTTAAAAAGTAATACGAATCTAAAGAGCAATGCAAATAATTCTTGAATACAAAGAATTATTTTTTTGAAATATTACAAAAATAATGGAAAAATTATCTCCAAAAAATGGCCAGAATCTACTAATTAATTTTAATTATTTTAAAACTTTGTCTCGTAAACACATTCTTAGGACACAATGATCACCTTGGTTTGAGCTCTGGGTTGAAGTTTCTCTGATAGTGACTGAAGCACTGAAAAGGCGTGCGTCCGCTCTGAATTAAAATAAAAAATTACAAAATTAACAACAATGTAATCATATAAAAAGATATTGTTAAACCATCAGCAGGTTAGTTGAGTTTTTAAAATAGAATACAACAGGTTGATAGCAAATTTAGAGAACAATAAAATTATGATTTTAATTGAATTATTATTATTAGGTCTTTGTGTTTTTCTCAATCTGTAATAATAAATCATGTATATGTCTCAATCTGTAATAATAAATCATGTCTATTTCTCAATCCTTAATAATAAAGCATGTATATTTCTAAATTTATAATAATAAATCATCTAGCAGACTTTTGCTGCTTGGATTTTAATTAGCCGACCAAAACTTTATTCAAAGCTTTTTTTAATACTCTTTTCACTTTATGATTTGTCATTTTGGCTAACGTAAATTGTTTCATGTATAATAATATAGATAAGTATTAACAAATTTATATTTCATTAAAACTCTCAATATGACATAAAATTCATAACAAATAATTATCTAGCCTATAAAAAAGTTGAAAACTTCAACCCAACGAAGCAGTCATAAAATTCTCATCCAAGCTTTAAAAAAAATGCCAAATTTAATAGATCGTAAATATCACTGGTAACAAGACACAACATGAAGTTCTGCTTTGTATCTAGACACAAGTTCCTATTCCCTTCTGCTTTGTATCTAGACACAAGTTCCTATTCCCTTCTGCTTTGTATCTAGACACAAGTTCCTATTCTCTTCTGCTTTGTATCTAGACACAAGTTCCTATTCCCTTCTGCTTTGTATCTAGACACAAGTTCCTATTCCCTTCTGCTTTGTATCTAGACACAAGTTCCTATTCCCTTCTGCTTTGTATCTAGACACAAGTTCCTATTCCCTTCTGCTTTGTATCTGGACACAAGTTCCTCTTCCCTTCTGCTTTGTATCTAGACACAAGTTCCTATTCCCTTCTGCTTTGTATCTAGACACAAGTTCCTATTCCCTTCTGCTTTGTATCTAGACACAAGTTCCTATTCCAAAGAGTTTAAACAATTTTTATTATTCAAATAAACGTGAATTCAGCTGATCAGTGTAGTGGAGAAGAGGAAAACCTTAGTTGCTGTCATAATCTAATGTTGTCCTAATCTAATGTTGTCCTAATCTAATGTTGTCCTAATCTAATGTTGTCATAATCTAATGTCATAATCTAATGTCATAATCTAATGTCATAATCTAATGCTGTCATAATCTAATGCTGTCATAATCTAATGCTGTCATAATCTAATGCTGTCATAATCTAATGCTGTCATAATCTAATGCTGTCAGTCATGATCTAATGCTGTCAGTCATGATCTAAATGCTGTCATAATCTAATGCTGTCAGTCATAATCTAATGCTGTCAGTCATAATCTAATGCTGTCAGTCATAATCTAATGCTGTCAGTCATGATCTAATGCTGTCAGTCATGATCTAATGCTGTCAGTCATGATCTAATGCTGTCAATCATGATCTAATGCTGTCAATCATGATCTAATGCTGTCATAATCTAATGCTGTCATAATCTAATGCTGTCATAATCTAATGCTGTCATAATCTAATGCTGTCAGTCATAATCTAATGCGGTCAGTCATAATCTAATGCTGTCAGTCATGATCTAACGCTGTCAGTCATGATCTAATGCTGTCAGTCATGATCTAATGCTGTCAGTCATGATCTAATGCTGTCAGTCATGATCTAATCCAGTCATGATCTAATGCTATCATAATCTAATACTATCATAATCTAATAAAAAATTACCTTAAATAATTTAATGCTGCAGTAATCAATTTTTAAAAAAAATATGGGGTAAAAAAAAAAACATGACAAAGAAGTGAAATTCTCAGTTAAACAACTCCTCCAACCAAATATCCTAAACCACCCCCATGAACCTACCCCAAGGTCTGCAGCAATGTTTGCCCAGTTACCAGTCTCTGAATTGGTCACAAGGTCCAGCAGCTTGTTTTCCTCCTCCTTGCTCCACGCTGATGTGTTTAGAGTTGGACGCACCTGGTTATCCCAAGCTTTCTGGCAGTCAATCCAGGAGCTGTTTCCGCCAAATTGCTGGAATTAGGAGGTGATGTTAATGTTTTGCGCCAAAAACTAAGTCGAAAGAATGTGAGCTGTAAAGGTTTCTGCCGCCCCCAGTTTTATAAAAGCCATCGTCTGGCTAGATGCCCTTTGAATAAATTCAAACTTGTTCACTTAAAATGTTCATATGAATACTGAATTTGAAATCAGTCTAACCAAGGATATAGTAAATACTTTTTGGTAGAAATAAGAGATTATTAATAAGTGAAATTTCTAATCAAAGCACCTGCTTATATGTTAAGTTAAATTTTTATTTTCATGATAAATGGTTATATTACAATTAAAATTTTAAAATTAAAACAACTAAAGTAAATGTAATTTCAACTATATTTTGGAAGGAAGCGCAAGGTGGACATTTGATTTCTCACATTTCTTTTGGAAATCTTCATCCAGTCAACTTTTTCAGAATCTACATTTGCAAGTAATTCTTCTTCTGGTGTATTCCTGCGGGGAAGAAACAAAGCAATGATAATACTTGAACAGGAAATATTTAAGCACACGGTAGCATAATAGATATGGATGCCACATGTCAGTGGAGGTGTTATTGAATAGGTTGATATCTAAACTGATATAATGACACTTTTGATCCTACTTTTTTTCTTTAATTTCCTCCTCGACTTGTGTTATTTCTGCTTGATATTGTTTCAGTTCATTCCTGAAAATTGACAAAGAGACATTTTTAAAAATTATTTTAAATTAAAATAAAAAAGTTTATAGGCGACTTTGTTAAATTTTTAAATGACTTCTGCCTCTCAGTCACAAATTATTACTCTTCATTGTCAATAAATAAAAGGTATGAATTTTTTTTTTTTTAAAGTTTTTTTCCTATATACAAAATTTGTTTACAAAAATTTAGAATAAACAAAATAAAATTTAATTTATGATTAAAATAATCTTTGCCATTTTAAAAAATATTTCACAAGTTTCAAATATCTCTGGTTCTTCTACTCAAAATAAGCTCCAGCAGGATTGAGATTAACATGTTTACTGAAGTTTAGATAAAGACCTTTTCTCTTGCTGCTCCAGTCCACGCATGTAAATGCTCTCCCTGAGTGCCTCCTGAGCCTCTTCGGTAGAAGTTTTAGCTGAGCTCTCTAAAGTTTTTGTTTCCCTGTTTATGTCTTGCGAAATCTCCTCCAACTCATCGCTGCAAGCTTTACATTTCTGAATCAAACCTTCCATCCTGTTAAAAATTTAAAAAAAAAAAAAATATATTATTTTATCCGACAAGGTCACTTAAACTTCTTTAACTGAAAAAATATTTTTCTTTACTCATTGACCAGTCCAACCTCACTGACTTCGGAAAATCTTAGACAAGTCTAGGTAAAGAGGTATACTCCAATTGGAAATTTATCTTTTTTTTTTAAAAGAAAAGAATCAAGTATTTTTAAAAATTGAAAAAGTCGGCTTTTTATTATTAATGATAAAAATGAATATTATTAAGTAACCATAATTAAAAACAAGGTCGTTAACTTCCAATGACTATCTGAGGCTAAGCATCTGCACATTTTCACAAGCTGACTGCCATCTCCAGGGAAAGTTGTCTGTGTCAATTATTGACAAGTGATGCACCAGTAATCAGTTTTCTGAGCCATCTTCAATTACAGGTAAATCCACATCACTTTTATCATCAATTTTCGATAGGTTCTACATGGGTCTGTTTGATACTCTTGTTACGTGTCATTATGGTTTTGACAATTTAATCTATGTTAAGATTTGACTCTTAGAAAGAACAATACTTAACAAAGGATGGAGAAAAATAGTACCCAAAGAAAACATTACCAAAACTAGAGATACTAACAATGCTCATTTAATTTTTACATTTCTACAAAAATACAAATTCAAATGAAAACAAAAACTATATCAACTTACAGCACAGCGATTGAAAAGATTACACTCCTAAAAAAAATTCAAATGTTAATTTAAATCCATTCCTGTGGTGCTACAGTCCCTGTAGGGCTTTGGCCCGACTCACCTCATCCTTCCACTCAGACATAACTGATGCTTTTCTTTTCCATATTCATCCTTAATTGGTCCTTATATTTTCCAGAGAACTTTTTTCTCCCACGTGTTTACTTCCGGGGAGACACTCTGCAGGTGACTCGATTTCATCTGCGCATATTTTTTAAGCTTTCGTCATAGTTTGAAAGTTTTTACAAAGTTTTCTTTGGAATCAAGGCGTGTTGAGGTTTTTTTTATCTGCTTTGACGGGTAATCTTGTGTTCTTTACCACGATCAACAGTGGTGACATGGACTTTTTTGGACATCGTTGCCATACACCGAGACAAATCCATAGCGGCTGTTTTTGAAATAATTGATACACCATCTTGTAAACAAATGGAAAGATCAAAACAACAATTCAAAGACAAATTGACTACAGACAAAAGGCGTGGCCTTGATCTTGGAGAGGAAAAACTCCGTTCAATCAAAACTCCAAGACTCCGTTCTCACTCCAGAACTGAACAGTTTTCTTACCACACAATTACATGCCGAAAGTCTTGCTACAGACTAATATTAGGGAACGACGGAAAACTCAAACAAGCATTTCTAGGACTGAACAAAAATATGTACAATGAAGAATGTAAAAAATAAAATTTCTATTAATTTGGATTAATAAAAATATCTTATCTTAATAGGTTTGCTGCTGTTTTTGTTAGGGTCCAAGTTTTTTTTGCATATGTTACAACTGGTCTGAATAGTTTTCTTTGTTTTTCTTGTATTGTTTTTACTTTTGTGTATTTTCTGGCTACTGAAGTATGCTCTGTTTATGATCAATATTCTTCCTATTATTTCTGAAAGCAATTCATTTCTTTCATTTAATAAAAATCCTAGGTATTTGAATTTTTTTTATTTGTTCAAAAGTGTGATGTCTAATTTTTAAGGTTTCATCTGTCTGTTCTTTTTTTAACCTCATCATGTGTTTTGTTTTTTTTGGCTGTTAACTTCCAGCCCTGCTAGTAGTGATGCATCTCCTAATTCAATTAAAGCATTTGATATATCTTTACTACTGAAGAGGGTGCCCATTAGTTGTGGGTCTTGGATTTCCCCTGAGAAAGTATCCTGTTATTGTTCCTCGGGTGTCAATATGTATGCTTCATATAACTTTCTCCAATTTTAGGTTCAATAGCATACGAGACAGTGAGTCTCCTTGTCTTAGGCCTCATCTAATCTGAAATTCCTTTAAAATTCACCATGAACGTGATTTTTTTTGTTGAGTTTTTTACTGTTAAATATATCAGTCGTGTCTGTTGGGTATGCCAAACTGCTGCAGAGACTCGTTAGATATTTTCTTTTGATGCTGTTATAAGCCATTTTATAGCCCACGTAGAGTTTACGTACTGGGATATTATATTCATAACATTTCTCTAATTGGCCGCTGATGGTGAAAATCTGATCAGTCATTGATTCTGTTAAAGTCTCAATCCACATTGGAAGTCACTTAGTGTTTGTTCAGTGTTAAGGTTGTAGTCTCTTGGCAATTATTTTTGTCAGTATTTTGTATACAACATTTAATTGGGAAATTCCTCTGTAGTGTATGACTGCAGTTATTAGTTCTGTTTCCCAATCTGTTGGAATTTTCTCTTCTTTCCTAATTGCAGTAACTGCTCCTCAATAGCTTCTCATATCTAGTAAGTCTGATCCATGCCTCTGATTGATTAGAGCATGGTCACTTTGGTTTTGAGTGATTGTGTCTGGTCAGTTCCAAATAATGGATGTACATTTTTCGGTGGAAACTTAGTGCTGCTAACTGACATCCCTTTTCCTGAAGCAAAGTCTACAAGTCTGGTCCTGGTCCATTGTCATTGGATTCTTCATGCAGACTCTCCTTGCCGATAGTTGGCATGAACACTTTTTCTTTCCCTATTTTGGCATTGAAATCGCCAATCACTATTTTAATATCATGTCGTCGTGCCTCTTCATAGAACTTTTCCCAGGGTCTCCATAAATGGATTCTTTTAATTATTTCGCTTACCGGAAATTTGATGGAAAGAAATTTTGTCGACGGCTAATTGATCGAAAGGAAATTTGGGCGAATCTTTTTTTCAGTTCACAAGTTAAAATTTTCATCAAATTTCTTTTTGAAAGCACTATACTATAAAGTAAAACAAAATAATGCATTCAAAAAGAAATTTGAAGCAAAATTTTAACGTCAAAACTGAAAAAAAGATTCAACCAAATTTACGTTCGTTCAAATTACTGTCAACGAAATTTCATTAGATAAAATTTCCGGATACGAATTATTTCCCCTTCTTTATTCTCGGTGGGAGCATGTACATTTATAAATGTTGTATTAAACATTTTCCCTCGCACACGCAAAGAGCACAATCTTTTATTCTTTGGCTTAAAACCTATGACTGCACCGACGGCTTCTTTCTTCACAGAAAATCCTGGTCCAAGAGTGTTGGTGTTGTTGCCACAATAAAATATGGTGTAGTCTCTTGTACTGAGGATGTCTGCAAGTTTCCATAGAGTTTCTAGCCATGCAGAGATAGAGATTATATACTTAATTTGTTGATCTATTGGGTTGGCTAAGGCGCCTGCTCTAAACAGAATTAGTAGGTTCCAAGTGACAATCCAAAAATCAATAGCCAGGCATTTCCATTAGAATCAGTCCAGGTTTTATTTTGTTGTATGGCTATATGTTTATTTTTTGTTGTACATGCCTGAGTTTTTGGCCTGGCGCACAACCTTCTGGGGGGGCTGCTCCTAACAGCTCTCTAGGATAGCTGCCTTAATTTTCGGGTACAGTTCCCTTAGCTTTTGAGGATCCTGCTGTTACGAACTGGAAATTATCAGTTCAATATCTTCGTTTTCTAGGGATAATTTAATAATTTGACAAAACAATGATTCATGTAACAAATGTCCCTTTATTAATTATACAGCGTGTCTTCTTCATACCGTTCTCACTCTGCAAGTCCATTACTAACGCTCCAACACTAACTTCTATTACTGCTATCCAAAACATAACACATATAACCACATCATTTCCCATACCCAAAATACGTCACAAAATGCAAAGCATATAGCAATAGCTTCACAGATAATCTCAGCACCAAACATGCACTCACAAAACACAAACAAATCCTTAACACCCCCACCCCCCCCATTTCCTACAAGGCAGAAGCCCCCATTTCCTACAAGGCAGAAGATTCTGATTTTTGTCCGCCCCGGGTATTTTATTTCCATATCCGCCACCTGGGCAGGCGCTCGATGGAAAATCAGTATATCCGCACGAGAAATATTAATTTACACAGAGAAATATTAATTTACACACACACATAAAGAGTACAATGGAATTATTTAACGTCTCATAAGGTTTGGAAATATAGCAAAAATCTCTTTCTCTTAGCGAAGACAGGAGATAAATTATTAGATCTCTTCATAAATGAGAGCAACATTCCCATGACAATAGCAGTAAACTTGAACAGTCATGATAGGCACCCTGGGTGATCACAGTACAATGAAAGGTTCCCCTTGAACTTCTAGCCCCACATGGAATTAAATAAGCTAAATTATAAGTTACTTCTTTTGCAAATTTCATAAATAAGATTCAAGTGTTTACCTTGACATGTATGGTTTGAGCAGATTCTCCAGACAATCTTCAACCACAGCTTGTTGCAACATAGCTCTGACGGATTTCCTGACTAAAAAATAAAAATGAAATTATGCGGTCAATTTTTTTTATTTAAGAGCCCCAGCAAGCTCATAATTTTTTACAAATGAGTTTCTAAAATATTAATACACCTGTCCCTCATAAAGCCTATTACACAAATTTATTGAGAATATGCACCTTTGGTGGCTATTGCTGGACATTTTCAAACAGATTGTAACCCACTTATGCTCAGTTAGTTTAGTAATCTCTTTCACATACCAATAAACAAGAAGGATTTTCATTCTGCTAAATTATTTTAAAAAAAAAAAGATTTCTTTTTTATTTATACCAGCATGAAGTAATTGTCTAGAGGGAAATCAAAAGGTTGACAAAATAAAACCATTGTTTTGCAATGTTATTAATTTTTAGCCTCAAAATTAAAAATCCTTACCGTAGTGTCTAGGTTCTTTCCAAGATTCCACTACAACGGAGTCATAGTCTTTGGACTGTTTTTTTATCAAAACATCCTCATTTGCCGAGGGATACTAATGAAAAGAAGGTGGCTTTAGAAGGTAAATTTAAAAAAAAAAACAAAAAAAAAACTAATAAACTTTTCAAACATTGTCTTTATCCTTAAAAAAATAATCCACTCTTGGCTTTTTTTAATTCAAGATAACTTTCATGATAATGAAATGAGTAAATAGCTAAAGCGGAGTGTTTATCATGCTACTTTAAACAACTTGCCGACAATCCATCCCTGAAATAAGGGGCTCTAAAAGCTCCAATAGCTCCTGGTTTTGATTTAGGGCCGTTCCCATCTGTGAGGTTTTTGTCCAGCTTGGCCTATGGAAAGGATGCATGCAAAATATTATTTACATTAAGAACTTCCTGGGCGCCACACTGCAAGGTGACCTGATTACAACTGTTAATTTAGCCAGCGTTTTGCGATTGCTTTAGAATTTTCATGTAATTTTATACGAAATCAAGAAATAATTGATGTTTTTTGTACTTATAGTGTCTTTCATGTCTTTTTCATAAAAACCAGGGCTTACAGAAGAGTAATGGAAAGGGCTTACAGATAGAAGAGTAATGGATAGGACTTACAGATACAAGGGTAATGGAAAGTTACCCAATTAAAGTAATTCAACTGCTGCTACAATACATAATAAAACAAGTACAAATATATTCTTACACCAAAAAATTCTACCTTAATTCAATTTTAAGACACTTAAAATTTTCATGATTAACTTCAGAAAAAAATGTGATAGCTCTGTAAAAGCGCATGGTTTTAACAACTTTTGTAAACAATGAAGAGATACTACGTCACTAATTTTATGCGCCAAAAATGTTCCAATTACATTTATTTTTAATATTAAACATTACGCAGTGAGCCACAAATAAGTCAATTAAAGTAGGAAAACTATTTCAAAGTTTATCAAAAGTTGGACCATTTATAAGATTTGCTTTTTCTTAATTTAGTAGCAGGCAATGTGGAAAAGAAAAGACATTACTTGTTTCTGAGTATTTTTCTCCAAAGCTTGATTGATATTTTCTATGTAGTTCATAAGACTTTTCTGCAATGCTCTGTTTAATGTCAAGGTATTTTCTGGGCTAGCTTTGTCATTAATAAATTCTGTTTGTGTTGGAAGTTGTAGAGGATTTCTTGCGTTATCGTCAGCCTAAAACGAATAAGGAACACAAAATATATATTCATATAAAATATAAAGTGAAACGTTGAAATAGGGCACATTGAAATAGCACTGTCCTTGGGATGAGCTCAAACTCACACCTAGGATGGATTGATTATCTGATAATGGCAAACTCTCGATACCACGTGTTCGCCTTGAGACTTAGGAGGGCCGCACTTTCGCATTTGCTGGCCCAACAATTTGGAACACTCTTCCTATTGTTATCAGAAACAGCCAGACACTGGAGTCTTTCAAAACTGATTTGAAGACTTATCTTTTTCGCAAACGCACGCTGGGGTGATGTTGTCTATCTAGCTATTATCTTTTAGATGTATATTGGCCTGTGTTGTTTATGGTTGCAAGGTATGAAAGACTTAGAATGGGTATTCTTGTATGTAGTTTTGTAATGTTGAATTTTGTATTTCAATCTGGTATGTACCGTGCTTCGAGGCTTTGGGGATGAAGCATGAATTTTAAATAATCTTTATAATAATAATAATTGATAATAATTTCTTTAAAAAAACTCCCTTGAAATAGTAAATCCAAAGCAACATGAAATGTTTCTGTCGAATAAAATGATGTTTTGCCCTGCAAATAAATCAGGGGAAATCTTTGAAGAAACAAGGATAATAATGAAGGATATAACAGAACAAGGTTTGTGGAAGCTTGAAATAGAAAGACAGGACAATAAAAGAAGAATGTTTGGCTAAGAGCCTTTCTCAGCAGACAGGACAAATGAAAAAAATACAAGAAATAGAAAGTAGCTCAAAAAATGTGTGTTGCCTGTGTGTTGTCAGAAGACTCACTATGAGACTGAACAGTGGGCAAAGTGTGCACATTTGGCCAAAGTATAGTAAAAGCAAGACAATCAAAATGGCAATAGTGCACTTACATATTGTTTGGATGTTGTTAGTGATTGGTGCATAAAATTTAGGACACGTAGATTATTCTGTAGTTAACATACATATATACATGTTATGCATGCACGTCTTGTTTGTTTCCTCATTTCTTCTTATAGTCAACGGGCACGTCTTCTTTCAAATTATTAAACATGATAATCATTCAGCAGAACTTGCGAGTAACATCTCCCTTGCAAATAGAATCACTTTTGCTTTGGTCCCAAGGGTTTCCATATCATCGTATTTCATAACATTTCAGACATACATTTCCCAAGAAACCACTATTGCTATTATCAATAAACTTTACTATTAAAAAATTCTTTTATGATTCCATCAGAATCTACTCACAACATTCTTCCTAACTGAAAGGAGGCTGGAACTGGAAGTACCAACCGTTTCTGAAAATAGAATGAAAATAAAACAACTTTTAACAACTATGATTTTGGAAGATTAATGATGTGACTCTGTAAGACATTCATAAATGTTACAGATGTTATTATTCTTTTTTTTGCCCCTAGAAAAATTGGATGTTTCCTTGTCTCATATTGTCATTTGAATCGTTCCAGTACAGTAAAAATAATGGTTTGAAATTAAAAAAGAAAAATTGTACATATGTATATGATTTTGTAAAACAGATTTAACAAATATTTTACATTATCCAATCCTACCATTAATTTTTGAGTGTCATTTTGATAGTTATTTTTTAAAATTCAAATGAATAGGCATAATTATAGACCATAGGAATAATCCTTTTTTTCTTCTTCAAAAGTGAGCTTGGTTTTAAAAAAAAACAACATATTTTGAAGCCATTACTGTATTACAATTCTGTAATATTTCTAAAATATTTATTTAAATAGACTCCAACGAATAGCTACCAAAAACACCAAAATCAACTTTCTAGCTCAAGTGCAAGTGGTTCATATGTTGAGAATTTTTTAGTACAGACCTCAAGTACTCTTTTTATTATCATTGACTTTTCCTCCAAATTTTGTGACCTAATTGTTAGCACTTTACTTTCACCCTTATTCCAAGCATATTTCTCAACAAAATGTAACAGTTACATGATTTTTCTAAATTATATACTAAGTAATAAAAGAATATTAATTACATAATTATTTTAAACACAAGATCCTAATTTTTCCAAAATAAATTTTTTAAAACGAAGTGTCTACACGTCCGGTGCGCCGGACAAATAGTACGCGAGATATACATCCGTCGACATGTCACGTGACCACTGGACGGCTAGTAGTAGTTATTATTCCGAACAATGATAGTTTTTGAAGTTCTTTTTTGGTCTTGTGGTAGAGTGGTCGCTTGACATTATTATATATGTGGATCAATTCCCGGAATGGGATTGTTCCCCCCCCCCCCCCCCTTTTAATTTAAAATATTTTATATTACATTTATATTATCATGTTCATCAGCAACAGTAGTTTCATGAGACATTTTTAAATATTTTGTAGCAATTTAAACAATTTAAAATAAAATCTTTTACTTTTATTGGTTGCCTACCCCATACTGGCCCCTAATTTATTTATGGATTACTGGTACACAAATTCAAATAAAAAACTAAACAAAAATGTTTACAAGCCACTTTCACTTAAGTTTTTTTTTCTATTATTTGCATTCAAGATACTCAGTACATTACTTGGTAGAGAAATAGATTTTAAAATTAACAATAGTTTTGAATCATTCGCGGTCATGTGACAAGGCTAACGGACAAGATATCTCTCGCCACTTTGTTACGGCGGTCATGTGACTTGGTCGCCGGACAAATAGTGCGGGAGATAAACGTCCGACGCGCCGGACGTGTAGACACTGCCTTTAAAAAATCCACATTTTTTGCATAAAAGGTTATTAAACATTCGTCCTTATTTTTGGTTCATTGAGTTCAAGCAAAAGTTTGATGCTGCTTAGAGTCATTGACATAGTTTTGACTTCATAGGTACAACCATACATGCCAAGCTGGGGGATTAAAAAAAAAAAATACAAAAAATAATTGAGTTCAAGCAAAAGTTTGATGCTGCTTAGAGTCATTGACATAGTTTTGACTTCATAGGTACAACCATACATGCCAAGCTGGGGGATTAAAAAAAAAAAAGTCAAAAAATCCCCCCCCCCCCCCCCAAAAAAATAAAAAAATAAAAATATTTTAAAAAAAAAAAAAAAAAAAACCCCCCCCCCCCCCCCCAAAAAATATAACAGCATGAAAATCTGTGCAGAAAAAAAAAAAATGTTAGTAAGTTAAAAATATATAATAATAATTTATGGCTTGTTATTGTAACCACCATTTGGGGAACGCTGTTATAGATGACATAATAAATTAAAATCTAGTCCAGTTTTTATTTTTATTTATCTATAAAGCCTATAAGTTATTTATCAGTAAAGTTTAGGCCTAACTGTTTTTAACTTAATTTTAATTTTAAACCTGGAACTGGAAAAAAGAAATTCAAATAAATTCTCAGTCAAACAATAATCAAACTGTGCACTGTGGGTTTTAATTTTAATTAATCAATGAATGGCTATGACTATGACTATGATTATGGTTCAGTACTGTAATACTAATTACTATGCAATCTATAACTTGCATTAAGTTTAAGTCAAGTGTATCAGAATTATGTGGAAACGTACTATGAATGACAGCCTGGTCAGCCTTAAAAATTTAGTTTATTTACTAATTTAACAGGCTTCTGGAAAGTCAGAGAGCAGATTCATATACTTAAAGAAATTTGTAGAAATTCACTTCTTACCAGCATTCTCAGACTCCTGTAATTCCAAATCAATGATCAATTGATCAGTTTCTTCCTCCTCTTCGTCTTCATCACTGCTGTCACTGTAAAATAAACTATACGATTCGTCATCCAACTGTAAAGCAGTTCGTATCTTTTCTTCGTCTTCAATAAGTTCAAGCCTTTCATTTTCATCCACGGCATTAAACGACATTGTTATCAATGTTAGTTAACTTATTGCAGTAGTCTTTTTAAAGATAATATGAAACTACAACACCATTCAGAATTCATTCCATCTCTCAAGAAGTCCGAATTTAAATGCAAAAATTATTGAGAATTATCTCGCTTTGCAACAAATTACCAGAAAAAGCCGGAATAAAAAAACAAAAAACGATTCTGTAATTTGAAAATAATTGTAAAAAAAAAACAAAAACAAAAAAAACCACGACCATTCCACGCCAAAGCCGTGTGACAGTCAACGTTTCTGTAGTTAGATTTGATAAATGAATGTGAACATTTCTCAACATGCCTTTTTGTATGTTATCTTTGAGTGTGAATTGAGTCTCGTGAAGGTCAAGACCAAGACCGGGTAGTTAGTTTAACTGGTATATTTTTGTATTTCAATGTCAAAATTTTACTATTGTATTACAATTACGTCTACATTATGCCGATACTGTAATATTAATAAAAAAATATCATTGCATTTCGGTATTTTATAATTTAGTGAAGAGTTAGTTATTAGATTATTGACCTAGGGAAAACGTATTTGGTATTTGTCATAATATAATTTAACCCCCCCCCCCCCAACCCCCTTTTTTTTAAAGGGTAAAAATATCATTTCATTTCGGTATTTTATAATTTAGTGAAGAGTTAGTTATTAGATTATTGACCTAGGGAAAACGTATTTGGTATTTGTCATAATATAATTTAACCCCCCCCCCCCAACCCCCTTTTTTTTAAAGGGTAAGTTTTTAAGTAATTGTCCAATTTTGAAATACACATAGTTAATGTCACCACATTTCTGAAAGATCTCCACTGGCTTTCTTTGAGGGGCGCATTGACCACGAACTTCTATACCTGGCGTGTGGCTGTATAGAAGGCTGTGCACCTGAATATATTCAAAAACTTTTTTCTAAACATGTATCCTTACAGAATCTACGCTCTTCAACACATTCCTCATTGAGAGTTCCCAGTGTAGAGGGACTCATAAAGAATTCATACGGAGTGCACTCTTTTGAAGCTATTATTCATAAATTCAGCAACAGTTAGCCCCAATCTTTGAGGGAAATTGAAAATGATAAAAGTCATTTAAGAAACATTGAAAGACTTTTGCCTTTAAATAGATTTTAGGACACCAGAGCGCAGTGAGCATGCTGAATTATCATGCACACAAGCGCTATAAAAGTTTTCATTTATCATCATTTAAGTGAAGAAGAGTTAATATTAGAATTTAGGGAATGTTCTGGAAAGGTACTCTGTCGACAGCATGAGAAATCTGATCAGCCAGTATGTTAATGTCCCAGATCTGGTTCCGCCAAGCGTTGTCCCGCTACCTGTAGGCCGCATGAAAATCTACCTATGTTCGTAGAAACAATCGGTGAAAGTCGTATGGCGATGTCCAGTTTGAAAGATCTTCCTCGCAGATTTGGTCCAGACGAACGCAGAAACCTTTTTGATAAACGGGCGTGATTCGCATTATCAAAAAATGTACCGGTCGACCGCACCTTCTCTTCCGTTGGCACACTATAGTTCGCGAACGGAAAAAAATTGTGACGACGGACGCTGTGGTTACTTTGTACCGTACTGTCTTGTTAGATCTCTCTTTGAATTGTCCTGACAACTTTTTTTTCCCTCCAAACATTGTTCCCCCCATCACAGTTCATGCTGGCAAACACAGTGCTCATGTAAGAATTTTTTTACCTTATTAGAGAGACCCATTTCCAATAACAAGTGCCCAACACATTTTACTGACAGCTCAGAGAACACGTGTCGACCGGAGCTATGCCCCAGTGACAAACTTACCCACGCACTGAAGATGCAGGAGTTTCAGTACTGTATTCGTTTAATAATCCACGGAAGCATTGCAATTTTAAAGCAAGCCTGGGAAACTTGGGTAGAGGTGTCATGGTGGTGATGGTAGTATGGTGATGGTATGTGTGTGAATCTAGGATGGTGAAGGTATAGGGCGCTGAAGGCAGGGTGGTGAAGTTGTGTGGCGATGATATGGATGTGAAGGTAGGTTTGTAGATGTAGAGTGATAATTGTAACCCCCCAACACCCACACACACAATAAATAAATAAAAAAAAAACACCAGCTAATGAGAAAGTTTTTTGAAAGGTTGAAAAAGAAATGAACACGCAACACAAAGCTTATTTCTTATTTCTGCTTATAGTTCTGAAACAACTCAAAGACTTCTAGAAGAAAAAACGTCTTTATTAATATGAAATAGTAAAAGATGTATGCATAAAGGAAAACATTCATTTAATTTTATAAACCATTACACTTACACTTACACATAGATATTGTTTGCTTCGTATTTCTATATTTTTATTTTGTTAAAGTGTCAAATACTGAAATTACAAAAAATCTCATACAGTAAAACGCCGATTATCTTAAACCGCGGTTAAAACGACCACCCCTGTAGTTTTAGATTATTATCATTCACAATGGCATTTTAGTGAGCGTTGGGGTGCATACATTGATTGGTTTACCAAACGTTGATTGGGGTGCAAACATTGATTGGGGTGCAAACATTGATTGGGGTGAAATATTGGCAAACAACTCCGACCCCACCGCCTGTCGCACGACCTAATGCACATACAGTAACCAGACTGGGATGATGTGATATACACACTTCTTAATTAATATGTGTCGCAGAATACACGTCTGCAAAGACCAAGTACCGTAACTCTCTCAGCGGATAGTTCGAAGACCATTCACAGGCCCAGAAGATTTTTATTCAATATTTGCCGGGCTTGCTTGGCATATATTTAATAAATCTATTATTTGCACCGTGCTCTGAAAACAATCAGTTGCTAACTTACTAAGATGTACACGAGCCTTATGTTGTGCAGGCCTGATATATAGGACTCCCCAAAATCAAGAGCTATTTTCCATGAAATACAGACATTTCTGTATTCACGAGATATACACGAGAGAGTAAGGGATGGTGTGTTATTTACAGATTTTAGTTTTTGAGCGGTAGCAATGGGGATCAGCTCGGTCTTTTCATCGTTCAATTTAAGCTTGTTTTTGCTCATTCAGTGCTTAACTGACTCCACTGTCTTCTGTGTTGTACTAAGAAGCTGAGGGAACTGAGAGGGGATCACGGACTGCTGAACTTGGGTAACATCCGCGAACATGTGATATAGCAAGTCAAACCTACTTGATCAGTGCACCCAGGGGCTGTACGTACATAATGAAAAGCCTCGAGCCTAGGACCGAGCCTTGGGGTACTCCAAACTCGATAATAGATTGCTTCGAGGTCAAGCCGTTTGCTATAACTGATTGGACCCGATTGGTCAGATACGCGCGGAACTATCTCACGACGGTATCGGTGATAACGACGTTCTTTTTTTTTGTTTGCAGACGTTGGAGAAGTTTGCCGTGGTCAAGCGGATCGAACGCTGCCGATGGATCAGGTCACGACAAAAGGGATACCTGGCCCTCACCACCAGACGACAGAAGGTCATTGATGACGCGCAGCAGGGCTGTCTCCGTAGAGCGTCCTGTATGCCGACTGGAAAGGCTCAAACCAGTCACACCGAGGGAGGTGGTTCAGGAGCTGGCGGAGAACGACTTTCTCTAAAATTTTTGATACAAATGGTAGATTTGAGACGGGATGATAATTTTCCAACACATTTGGGTCGAGATTTTTTTCTTTAGCAGTGAAGTTACAACCGATTTTTTTTAAAGAGAGGATTGAACAATACCATATTTTAAAGACTGCTTTATGATATTAGTTTTGTTAATCGATTATTTCATCCAAACATTCGCACAACAGCCCTGCCGGAAGAAGGTCGAGCAAACATGACTCTTTCAGGGACATTTATAAATCAATTTTGGGTTTGTGGTTAAAAGGTAAGGTGCGGAGGCATTTACTGTAGATGTAATCCTCTACAATTACATTTACTGTAGATGTAATCCTCTACAATTACATTTACTGTAGATGTAATCCTCTACAATTACATTTACTGTAGATGTAATCCTCTACAATTACATTTACTGTAGATGTAATCCTCTACAATTACATTTACTGTAGATGTAATCCTCTACAATTACATTTACTGTAGATGTAATCCTCTACAATTACATTTACTGTAGATGTAATCCTCTACAATTACATTTACTGTAGATGTAATCCTCTACAATTACATTTACTGTAGATGTAATCCTCTACAATTACATTTACTGTAGATGTAATCCTCTACAATTACATTTACTGTAGATGTAATCCTCTACAATTACATTTACTGTATTTTGGTTTGAATCAACATCACTAGCATACATTTCTGTTTCCAAACCATCCATTTCTTTTACTTGCATGTTTACGTCAATCTTTTCTTTTTTCCCCCCCTCAGAATTTAGATAAATATAGCTTCCGGTCACTTACGGAAATTACCAAACATGTACACCAGCCTTGAATAACGACTGTATTTTTCTGACCTAATAATAGGGTCAACTCATTTGTGACGCATCAACTTTGAACTTATAATAAAGGACACATTTGTATCGGTTATAGGTGTGAAAAATTGACGTGTGATCGTTTATCCTTTTATGTATCTCGGGTAGACAGAGCAGTTTGTGTTCTATAAATGTGCAATATTTCAATTGGGTGTCACCCCTAAAATGCTGTCACCCGGTGTGGTCCGCACCCACCGCATCTCCTAGCTACGCGTCTGTGCTATGGGATAAAGAAAATGTGTTTGAGTTTCAAATGTGCGCATTGGAGGGTGTGTAATATTGAACGTGGTATTTTTTTAAAAGTAATCTGACGTTAATACAAAAATTGCATCACAACTATATTTCACTTTTCTAGATTTGATACCACAATGGCAAACCTTAAGAGACCTAAAATGCGGAAAATAAAATTCACTATTTTCAATGGTGTCATTAAGACTATTTTTTTTCACCTCACAATTTTTTTTCGAGAAGTGTGGGGGGGGGGGGGGGGTGGTGGGGGGGGGGGGGGATGGAAGGTGAGGGGGACTTTTGGTTCAGCTTAACGAAATAATTATGTCACGTCAAACATGACGTCACATTGATTGTATCTGGTTTGCGGTTTGCTATCACTAGGCCACAATTTA